GATTCTACGGAAGCCGGCAGACCAAACCAGCGCATTCAGCTCGGCAAAGAACTCATGCTCTTCCTCAACGCTGAAGTCCTCAGACATTTTTCTTTCGTTGTTTCTTTCTTTGCACAGGTAAACAGCACATTTCTTCTTCTACGCTTGCATTATCGGCAGAGCAGACGCTGAATGCGCACTTTCTTCCGGTTTGGTCTGCCGGCTTCCGTAGAATCGTGAGCGCGCATGGGGGCGCTATTAGGAAATCCTATACACTACTGTTTAGGCTCTAAAACGTTCTAAATGACTTCGTTTCGAGTAAATTCTGGATGCTACCCACTCAGGACACTTGGATTACATTGGACGAGCAGTATGGAGGAATATTGACACGTTTTTGTGGACTTTTGTGGACCTTTCTGTCTCGGGCGCTGGGCACCTCCATTATTTGAATGTCAGCAGACAGCAAGAAGCCTCCCAGATCTCCAGATGCATTTGAGATATCAAAAAAGTACTCCAGAGTTTTGTTCAGCATGGGGGTGAGTAGAAAATGAAGGCTAATCATGTTTTGGGTGTACTATTCCTTTAAAATGTCGAAACCTGATGGCAAAATATGTTTGCTTTTATTATTGGGGTGCCTGCAGTTTGTACCACATACCTAAAAAAATGCTAACATCTACTTCCGGCTGCCACTAACATTAATGGAAAAAAACCCAAAAGGTGACTGTGCCTGAGGCAGCTGCAGCTGGGGATTCCCAGTGACAACGCACCGTCGCTATGTGGAGGTCTATGTGATGAACTGACCGCACAGACAATGTTTTGAGGTGGACTTTCTTGCATAAAACATATTAAAACTATGTTTTTCCCCACTTATCACAGCAAATGTAACAAAGCCGCTCTCTACAATTAAACACAGGAGCAACAGAAGCATCAGACATATCTGTACACATTTTACAGGACGTGCTTCAGGAGCATCAAAGATGCTCTTGAGGCGCGTCTAACCTTAACGTGTACAAAAATCAAAAATGAAGCAGCAGGCGCTTTTTTGCTGCTGAGATCGCCTGCATGTTAACGTAGGATTACTGTAATAATCTATAGAAGTGGTTGGACAAATACTTGGTTCAGGAAGGCTAAATTGCAAACTTTTTAGACTTATTTTAAACCATGTAGAATTATATTTCTGCTTCACATTTTTTTTACAACTGTGTCAGTTCTTATGAGGTTCCAATGAAAGTCACCAATATTGGGGCTTGACACAAGATGAGCTGTGACAAATTATCAGTGGGATTACTTATTACTTCCTCTTATTTTCTTCTCTTCAGAATTCCCTGCAGGTGATCATCAGTGCCTTAGTGGACACCTCTGTGAAGGGGGCTAAAGCTCTGGATAAATTCCAGTTTGAGAGAGTTGGTTACTTCTCCCTTGACCCTGACAGCACGGCTGACAAGGTGAAAAAATAAATCCACTTTAATTCTGTAATGGTTTTAAATGGTTAGCAGCCATATTTTAAATACTGTAGTAAAGCATATTATAATATGCATTTGTTTCCCTTTCAGCTCATTTTTAACAGAACTGTCACACTTAAAGAGGACCCTGGGAAGATCTAATTGACACAGTCCAGCTGCGCTTCCACCATGAGCCTTTAGATACTGGACCACTGTGTTTGCATCATCTTCTATGTAACATCAGCAAGAACACAGAAGCTCTAACTGAGAGTGCTTTAAATGATTTGCCTTTTATTGTCTCCTGCAACATTTTTTAAAAAGCATATGAAGCCGCCTTATGGCTGCCAGTGTCTCCTCAAGGTCTGTGTTCCCGTTTTTGCTGCAGCGCTAACTAATTACACGTTATGCTGGCATCTGCTTTTGGTATGTAAGCAACTTGATCAAAAACAGACTTCATGTGGAAATGTTAAGACAGCTGGTTTTACAAAAAGAGGATGCTCTCAGGATGCCATATTTGACTTTGTAACCGAGGTGATTCCATCCCTCCTTAAGAATCACAGGGGTCCTTTTGGACAGCAAATAATAAAATTGATATGATTTAAAAATTGTCTGTTGATTATTTACTGAGCATGTTTCACATTTTTTAAGTAATTAGTCATTCAGCTTTTGGTGGTTGTTCAGGAACCATTCTCATTGATGGAGCTGTAATATTCATATTTATCAAATGAAATTTTAAAAAAGGGTGTCGTGTTTTTCTAGAATCTTATATGGATGGGAAACAATCTGAGCCCGATTTTGCATTTTTTTTTATTATATACATTTTTTTATATAGATTATGTAAAGTTAAATGTTTATAGAAAATAGCAGCCTGTTGCACTTAAATTTTCAGTTTTTTAAATGTATTATTTTACACATAACCTGAATAAACCCAAACTGCAGTTTTATGACTGTTTAATTGTTTAAGAAAAGAAACTATCCAAACCAATCAGGTTTCTTTTCTTTTGTAATAACTGTTTTGATTTAGCTGTTTCTACCATGAGAGATTTAAAGGAATGCAGGTATTTAGATTTAAGTCTGAACTTTGACTAGGCCACTTTTTTCATCTCTGACTCATTGTGTGTAGACCTACTGGTGTGCTTTGGGTTGCCCTTGCTTAACATGCGATACTTAGAGATTATGGTCATAAACTGAAGGCAAAAATGATTAGTTTCAGGTAAAAAACAGAATTCGTAAATCCATGAAAGATGGTAAGTGGCCTTGTCCAAAACGCAGTAAAGCAACCTAGAGGCAGTGACACTTGCACTTGGTTTTACTGTTGGTATAACTACAGTATATTGATACTTTTTTTCACCCTGGTCTCTCCCTTAAATGTTTATGAAAACTTACCTCAAACTAGGTCTACCATGATTTAGATACTGTGCATGGTTCTGTTATGACTGTGGGTGGGCTCTAAATGCACTATTGGAACAGTTTTGTTGTTCAGTCATTAAAAAAGGTTAGCTTCTTTTTTTCCATTTGTAAATAACTCTCTGGGTCCTGAGAAATAGGTTTAAAAACCTTATCCAGATTGATAGATGTCAAGCACTCTTTAAGAAGATTTGGTCTATTGCAATTATGAGTACACTTATTATTTTTTAATACATCAGTATCTCTTTATCTTCTAGAATTTTTTTGCTGCATTAAGCAACAGGGGTCACTGAATATACCCTCAGTCTGTGTGTATGATACCAATGGTTGACAAACCCATTGCTGTCTAGGCAGCTTATGTATGTTTTGTCCTGGTAATAGACATTGTTTATCCCTAATATGAACAACTGTAAATACATCAGCGGTATTACATTCTCCTTACCTTTTATACATTTGTGGGAATTGCTTTTTGGTTTCCAACATGTTTTTATATTTTAATTTTCAGAGCTTGTCATTATTTATTATAGAAATCAGAATTTAGGATTTAATTTTAAATTTAAGCCAGCCTGGCCAGTGGTTAGGCTTGAGATGTAGAACCAGCAAAAAACACACTGTTGGATGAGGGCTGGATCATTGATAAAAAAAAAAAAAAAAAAAAAAAAACAGGTTAGCAAAAGATGGACAGCTGGACAATGTTCAGATATATTGGTGGATAAATAATGGGGGGAAAAAAAGATGAGATTGCTGGTTGGATGATATATTCATGGCTGCATGAAGAAAATAGATGAATATACTGATGACTCAAGGACTGACGGATGGATTCAATTTTTAATGTCTAACAAACAAATGAATAAATGCATGTTGATTAGATAGATAATGGATTTAAATAGTTCAACACCTTTAAAGTGGAAAACAGGAGAGAATGGAAATCTAACAATATATTTTAATTTTACCCCTTTTCCTTCCCATAGCCAACTTTTTATTTATTTCATTAAAAAACATAAGACCTGTATAGGTGAGAACTGAAATCATGAATGAAAGAAAAGACGCAGAAAGAAGTAAACACTTATATTATCTGCCTCCATTTTCAATAAATTATTACTTATTCAACTCTCAGATAACTCAGCCATGTTCAGCAATACACAGAAAACGAGCAACAAAACCAGCTATACATCAGCTTATCCACTGTCATAGACTCATCAAAATGACCTTAAGGTTTCTATGAAACATAGAATAAGTTTCAGCTATTTTTAACTCACTAATAAGCTTATTCCACAAATCAACACCTTTAACAGAAATAGATCTTTCCATCATCGCTGCTCTGTACCTGGATTTAAAAAAAAATATTTGTACCTTTTTATTTTTTTCTTGAACAGTGTTCTGTCTGGCAATGTGACAAGAATAATTGCCTTGATGCCAAAAAAAGAGCCCAACAGATTTTGCTTTCACAAGTGGAGCAGTATGGCTATCACCATAGTGTTCCGCTTGATTTTTGCATATAAATAGCTTTATTATAATTAATGCAGGGAATATTACAGATTACATGGACACTCCAATGTAAGTAGAACAGGAAAGGGAAAAAAAGGAGAAAAGATTAAACATCTTCAGTCTGCTTCATCACCTGCAAAGAGATGTAAAAAAGAACATATTTGTTCCTTTTAAGTTATACATTAATTTTAAAAAATCATACATACTCTATCAATTAATTAAGTTTTAATGTATTCTACTTATCTGGATCCATACTATTGGTCAGACAAAATGCAACACATTCTTCTCAGTTTTTAATTTTTTTGCTTTATTTTATGCTATGATAACTTTGATAAAGCTTTTTTGTAGCATCTACAACTGATGTAAACAATGACCGAGTACATTTGACTTTAGTTTAGCAATTGTGTGAAGTTTTAAAGTAACAAATCCATATGATACTATATTAAACCAAACATATTAAACCATAACATTAGAAAACGTGGGAATCAAGCCGCGCCGGATTAAATGCGTGGGAATTAACTCTCGCCTTGCCATAGCTTCAGAGGACCCCACTGAATATTTGGCGAATCTCTGCAGGACTACCTTAAAAGATTCAGAAGCCCGTGAACCACTGAGAGCGTCCTTCTGGGAGAAATGTGTTTTAAGGTGGCGTGACATCTACTTCGTCTTGCCTGGTGTTTAGCTCGCATGAGTCTCCTTTAACAAACTACATGGCAAACGAAACATCTCGCGATGCTACATGGCGTGAATACCGCGATAACACCTCTGAGTTGCAAATCGGTAGCCCATTGGTTTGAGGACGCTGTTGTAAGATGGCGCCCAACGGAATATGAATGTAGAGGTAAAAAAAAAAAAAAGAAAAATACTACAGCAAACGGAAAAATACAAAGTTTTAATTGGCTGTTGAAAAGAAAAACGAAAAGCATTTTGCTCTCATGCTTTTTGGAAGAGGAGCGCTGGGAACGACTTAAAGCTCGACCTTTTTAAGAGAGAGGTAGCCAGTGTCCATGCTAATTTTAGCCTGTTAGCTTTAGTGTAATCAGAAAAAAATAGGTCCGACACAAGGGGGTTAGACAGGGGCTGTGGGTTTTAACACAACATGCTGATAGGCAGTAACGCCGCCTCCATTTGAGGTGCTAGATTCGATGTTTATTTTCAACGGAACAGTGAAAAGCTAAATTTTGGAAACAACACGCGGCTAGTTAGCAATGTACCTGGCTAACCTAGCGTGTTGTGTAATCAATAGCTTGGTAAACGATTGTTCAAGCCTTCAAATGTAGACATCACAGTGAAATAAATCCAGTTTTAAGCATGACGGTTTCATCATTCAGCTGTTACCGACTGCTGCGTCAGATTTGGAAAGTGAGCGCGCTTTTGTCCCTGCTCGTTTACACTCAACTCGAATTAACCCTTTCCTATTACAATCTCTGTCCCTGTTATCACCAGCCGTTTTGCTCCCTTTCAGTACGAATTTAGTGATAAATTGTGTTATCACCCCTTAAAGTCACCATGTCTGTAATATGTTTTTTTAAATTGGAATTCTAAAATGTTCTTATAAACAACTACATTTTCTACAGATTTTCACCACAATTGGGTGATCACAGTCTACAGATATGAATAATTCCATGGACGGCTCCAGCTCCTATGAAGAGCTTGTGAGACAGAAAGCTCGAAGCATCCCTCAGCATCGCATGAAGGAGTTTCTGGAGTCCTTGGCCAGCAAAGGTCCTGATGCCCTGCAGGAATTCAGCCAACAAAGTGGAGACACTACAACCACCACTACGACCATGGTCTACCAACAAGAGGCAAACTGCATCTATACAGACAGCACAGAAGTGGCTGGGTCACTGTTGGAACTGGCATGCCCGGTAAATAAGCAAGACTTGGTCACACCCAGCAATGCAAATAAAATTATGATACACATTTTTTGAAGGTATTTGCAGACATAAAAAAAATAGTTATATTGGCCTGCACAGTATACCATTCATGTTTGTTTATTAGATTGTCACTATGTGTAAAATCAACCTAACTATTAAAATAACAAAATACAACATACTGCATGTTTTAATATTGTTATAATTTACTTTATTCATTATATTGTTAACATGCTTGGCAGCAGATCTGACCCTGTGCTGTCCAAGATGCTTAAGGTTACAACAAGGATTGGCGGCATTGTATCCTAAATTAAAAGCTGTAGTTATTGTTAATGGTCAGCCCCAATAACATTTAATAAACAATAATATGTGTAGCATCTTTCTGAAAAAAACACCAGTGTGACATTTAAAGAGACATTACAGAGTTTTCTAATGATACTGCCACCCATGGCCAAACACAGAATTGCAGAACTGTTTTTAACTCGTGTGTCTCGCATGTACTTAACAAGGTTCTTTTTGTTTGTTGTTGTTTTTTTTTACTTGTTTCACCTTCACCTTACCTGGATTTGTCATTGGTTTCTGAGTTAAGCTTGATGCTGGTTGCTTCTAAGTATCCACAGCATCCATCCAGAATGCATCCACTTCAACGTTGCTAGGTTGGACCCATTTAACATGGATGCCTGATGGATGCATCAAAACTGAACAACTGAGATGTCAGTCTTCAAACAACATTTTAGTCATAAAGGGTCAAATAAAGTCCATTTTAAAGATATTCTTCTGTAAATACTTACAAAATGTCTTATTAATGTAGGTTTAGAGAAGTCAGGATGTGGGGGGACTCCTGATTTCTTTTGTAGAGTTAAACCTTGACCTCAGACCTACAATTATTTTTAATTTGTAGTTATTGTAGAAAATAGAACTTTGCCCTCTCTTCTAGGTTCAGGTCCAGGTCCAACCGCAGCAGCAGATGCAGGAGTCCACATCTCAGCAGCAGTCTGTCCAACAGAATGCAGAGCAGCAGATTGTCCAGGTCTGCAAACTATAACATTATGTTAGCATTTTCTGTTTGGAAGTATATTTCTAATTAATGTTCTCAGTTTTATACTTATCCTCAGGTGCAGATTCAAGGACAGCAGCAAGGTCAGATGCTTGGTCAGGTTCTCCAGGTGCCTGCTGGCTCCCATCAGCAGCTGCAAGGTGTAACCACTGCACAGCTGATTCAGCCTGGGGACCTAACAGAGGAACAGCAACAACAGGTATCTTCACAAACTAATGATATTAGAGGAATGCATTTAGCTCACAAGATGTCACAGGATAGGAATTTAACAAATTCTAAGAGTGCCAGTTAAAAGACCTACTGATGCTTAAAATTCCCATCTTTATTTAGGGTGTATTTGTGCCTATATGTCAACATATGCTTTGTTTCAAGCTGACCCCGTGGTCAGCAGCTTCATGCAAAATCTGATCCTGACCAACAGTTGATTTCTTGGAGTATCTCTTCCCATGTTCTAATAAAGCTGAGGTTTTGCCATGCTTTATTATTGGTACAGCTTGTGCAGTGGGAATTTGTAATATTGTTAGATGTAAAACACAGTAGAAAATAGTGTTTTTATTATTGCATTCAATCCTGTGTTTTCCAGCTGCAAGCCCAGCTTGTGGCCGCTGTGGCAGGTGGACAACAGATCCAGATCCAGACCGTTGGTGCCCTCTCACCCACTCAGCAGCAGGACAGTGCAGAGAGAAGGGTTATGGGGACCACAGTTGCCACATCCCAAGCAGCAGGGGTCCTGCAGCCAGCCAAAAAGCGTAAGGTGGACATGCCCATCACAGTGTCCTATGCCCTGCCAGGTCAGCAGGTAGCCACAGTCCTGGCTATCCCCCAGGGTCAGGGGCAGCAGCAAAGTTATGTTTCCCTGCGGCCAGACCTGCTAACTGTAGACAGTTCCCACCTTTACAGTGCCACTGGGACTATAACAAGTCCCACAGGTGAGACCTGGACCATTCCTGTTTACTCTGCTCCTGCTGGATCTGGAGGCCGTGAGCAGGTCACACATATTGCCATCCCCCAGGAGGCTTATGGGACGGTGCAGGTGGCAGGGACAAACACTACAACAATGACCACAATGCCAACACAAGTAACAGTCGAAAGTGACAAGTTAAAAAGCCCGTCTAGTCAGAGTCAAACTGTGCAGGCGGTTTCCAGCATAACAAGCTCTGCAGGGATGAGCACCCAAGAAGAAGTGGTGCACACCCTAGCTGCAAACACACTTTTCCCTGCCCAGCTGATGAATGGAAACATCCACATTCCCGTAGCAGTACAAGGCTACTCCAACGCCACACAGTCTATCATCTGGGACCCACAGCAGCAGGTGTTGCACACACAGGGGCTGCCTGGGCAGGATGGACAGCAGCTACAGGTAATAACACAGTATCCACTAGACTTTATTCCTGCAGGTGTTTGATTTCAGCTCCGCTGAGGTTTGTTTCATTTAATGCGTAGGGTCAGACCGTCGTAGCAGAAGTAGACATCCAAGGTCAGCAGCAGGTGCAGGTACAGGAGCTACTGCTGCCCGCCACACTGAAACCAGAGGAGGGGCTGGACGTGTGGCGACTCTGGGCTCAGCGGAAAAACGCTGAGCTAGACAAATCGGACCAGAACAAACTTGCTCCAATAGGCCGTAAGGGATTTTTTTGTGTTAATTTAAAACAAACACCAGGCTGTATAAAGACATTACCTTGTTCAAACAGTTTCATCTCTGGGATTTCAGGACGACAGGCTCTTCGTTTCCAGGAGGACCTAGTGTCATGCGCGGTTGCTGAGCTCTGCATGGGCCTGTCTTTGATGACAACTGAGGCTCGGGGGCTTGAAGAAGAATCTTATGAGGCGGATGTTCTGTACTACGTATTTCTATGCATACAAAAAGTGAGTTATCCTCATTCACCCCCAAAACCCTGTGCATAGTTGAAACATTTTCTGGTCAACACTCAGAGCTTTTCATTTCAGTCATTTATGAACAAAACTAAAAAATTATTATTTTTCTCCATAAATATTGAACTAGCATTTGGCTGCCTTTCCAAATAAGACATAGTTAAATTATTTTAATGTTTATTTTGACTGTTTTATTGAAAAATGTGTTTGAGTTGTTCGCCAAACATCAGTGCTATCAGTGGACTAGAAGTAATGACACCACTAATGAGCTGCATCTCTTTTTTTTTTTTCCTGCAGTATCTATTTGATAACGGTCGAGTTGACGACATCTTCTCTGATCAGTACTATACTCGTTTCGCCCAGAGTCTTCATCAGATTTTGGAACCTTGGAGGCCGTCTGTCCATCCGCTAGGTACAACCACATGTGCTGTTTTTGTTCTGCTTTCAGGAGTTTTATTATTTTTGTGTGCATTTGATCGGTACTCAGCAAAAATGACCTACAAATCAACTATTTCTGCTAACCTTTATAAAGAAAGTTGCGTGCGTAATAGTTTTACAAACCTTCCAGCTGTTGTTATTCTGCTCTATTCCTCTTTCTGCAGGTTATGTTATTCCCAGTCATGTAACAGAGGAGATGCTGTGGGAATGTAAACAGCTGGGAGCTCATTCCCCATCAACACTGCTCACAACGCTTATGTTCTTCAATACAAAGTGAGTTTCAAAGCCCTCTTGTGCTCTGACGGTTTTACAGAAATTTAATGAAAAAAAAGGATTACTATATTTTAAGAAATCAGTCGTCTTTTATCAGTGCATAATCAAATCCCCTAAAAGTGACCCCTGAAAAGTTCAAAGCTGAGGATTTCTGACTCTGCTCTATGCCCAATAAATAAGATAGGAAACAAATGTGGTATTTTGCAGTAAATCGCAGGTACATTGAAAATCACACGTGAATACAATTCTTCGCGTGACAATTCTGAATACAGCGTGGCAGCGGCAGATTTAAGCACATGAGATGTATTTATGTTTCAGCCATGGATCTAGTGGGCACCATCATCCTTCCTACTTCCGGTCTTTTTCTTTGGTCTTTTTCTTCACTAAGGTCCAGATGCAGACCAAAAAAAGCATTTACATCGCAGTTTTGAGAAATATATAAATTTTGTTACAACTAAAAAAAACACCAAAAAAGTATTGAAGCGCAAAAACGTATATAAAAATGCAAGGGTTTTTTTCAAAATGAAGTTTCCGTTTAGCATGTTGTTTTTCTTCTTCATGACAATTTTCACAATTTAATAGTTAAAAAAACGCTCCATCATCTATATCCTCCTCTCATCAATTTATTAATTTATTTAGTTCTTTTATTATTTTCGTTTTTCCTGCATCACACTTTAATCCAACAGCTTTAAAACTGAATCCTTAACTGATGCCTGCCTCACTGCTTAATGGTTTACTTTTTTCTAGGCATTTCCATCTAAAAACAGTGGAGCAGCATCTAAAACTGGCCTTCTCGAAGGTGCTGAGACACACCAGGAAAAGTCCCAACAATCCCAAAGACAAGAGCACCAGCATACGGTACCTGAAGTCAGCAGAGAGGTTCATCGGACAAAAAGGTAACAGGTTAAACTAATCTTAAGATTTTCAAGTGAAGGAGTTTAAGTATCTCAAGGTCCTGTTCATGAGTGAGGGGAGGATGGAGCACAAGATAGATGAACAGATCAGTACAGCTGCTGCTATAATATGGATGCTGCACTGGTCTGTTGGTGTGAAGAGAAAGCTGAGCAAAAGGGAAAAGCTCTTGATTTACCGGTCGGTCTACGTTCCTACCCTCACCAATGGTCAATAAATCTGGATCATGCCTGAAACAAGATCCAGGAAACAAGCGGATGAAATGAGCTTTCTCTACGGGTGGCGGGGCTGTCCCTTAGAGATAGGGTGAGGAGCTTAGTCATTCGGGAGAAGCTTAGAGTAGAGCCGCTTCTCCATCGAAAGGAGTCAGCTGAGGTAGCTCTGACATCTTTTTTGGAAGCCCCCTGGATGCCTGTTCCAGGCACATCCCACCCGGAGGAGGCCTAGGGGACGACCCAGGACACGATGGAGGGACTATGTCTCGGCTGGCCTGGGAGCACCTCAGGCTTCCCCCAGCAGAGCTGCAGGAGGCTGTACTACGACTGCTGCCACCGCTCCCGGATGAACAGCAGATGACGAGTATGAGTAGTAATGACCATAAAGAGAAATAACAGGGAAACATAAGTCAGTTAAAAAAATAATGTCACAGTTTAAGTTCATGTGTAATATTTTTAAATGTTATTGTTGGATATATCATGTGTAAAGCCCAATTCAAATTCCCCCTCCCAACAAGGGGGTTTCTACCATGGTGTCATTTCATTCCAAAGTAAATCCCCCTTCTTGTCGTCTTCAGACTTTGTAGGCCTCCAGAGGCTAGGGCTCCGACCAACTGCCCACCCTACAAACCCCATTCTTGCACATACATAGACACCATGAGAAATACGGAGCATTTAGATTATTCTTTTTAACCTTTGGGTTTTGGGGAAAATAGAAGGTCTTGTCAAGTCATAAGGCTGAAGTCCAAGTCGAGTAGCAAGTCTTTTTACATTTTGTCAAGTGGAGTCTAAAGTCTTCAACTTCATGACTCCGTCCAAGCCATGTGACTCGAGTCCACATTAAATAGGCCCATTTTTGATGTCCTCAAGTCACGTATACATAGATATTGTGTACTTTGTCACAGATTATCAAATGAATAACAGTCAGTTTGCAGAATTGTAGCAATGCCATTTATTATTTTCTGTTTTCAAATTTTGATGTTTGGCCACGGTATTAATACCAAGGTATCACCTTGTGCTTTCTTTTAAATATCCAAAATATTAAGGTTTATTTATTATTGATAATAAATTCCCCATTGTAAGGATGACTGGCTGTTTTTTTTTTCTCTCAGTGACAGATGACATGTACTCGGAACAGCTGGAGGACCCTGAGAACCCGCTACGCTGCCCTATTAAGCTCTACGATTTCTACCTCTTCAAATGGTAAATATAAAGCAGCTTTTTATAATGAGACAATTAATTTTCTCTATTTGGTTGCTGTCATTAAATAAAATGGCAGATTGTTGGGAGTTGAGCGGATAAGATGTTATGTTGTGTTTCATCATGAAAAATCAAAAGAAAAAACTAAAAACTGCTAAATAGTTTTTTCTTGTGATGTTCTCTCAAAAGAATTACTTCATTTTTTTAAAATATATGTCAGTCAGGCTTTCTGAAAGGTTATAAAAACTGTAAAATATCATCTCAACTGTAGCTCTTAAAGTCTCAAACACTGACAGAATCTTCCAATGACACAAATGTAGTTGGGTCTTTAATTTCTGAGTGATGCACTGTTTTTTTTATCTGATGTTGGTATTCCTTTGATGACTGATATTTATCCAGGTTATTAATTTTCCTCTCTATTAACAGTAAAAACACTGTTCCCATTGCTTCTCTACTTCAGTTAAATTACAGTCCCGAGCTTCATCACTATCCCTTTAATAAAAGAAAAACCACATGATCAACCTTCTCCTGAGGTATTTTGAGAAGAATGCAGACTTGTTTACCTACCAGTGACATGTTATTGGGGGAATTTAATGTTAACCAAACATTTGAGTTATGTTTGATAACTTCATGAGTAAAAAAAAACCCAAAACATTTTATACAACTGAGATTCACTTAAAACTGCAGAAAGCAGGAGTAAACTCAGCCTTAAGCTCTGCAGAGGAAATGAAGAGTGATGAGCATTATCTAGGTCAGACTAGAAGCTCTTCTCGTCTGGAGTCGGAGACCTCTGGCCTCAACATTCCTTAACTACTCATCCACCAGTTAGACTTTTCCTGGCAGATTTTGATTGTGACCAATACCACAATTTGTATTCCAGTGGCTATAACGTGGAGAAAAGGAGAAATTCTGCACGTTCCTTTAAAAGAGGCACCAGTTTTTAAGTCAACAGAAAATTAATGAACGTGAAGGTTATCAAAGCATAAATGGCTACAGCTCTTTTATGTTTATTTTAAAAAAGCATCAATGTATTGCAAGAAAGGTACATTATCATCTTTGCTGTATCTGCAAGATTAGAAACGCGTTATATTTTAATGTAAATGTAGTCTTGGAAATATCCTGATAATGCTATTCCTTTGTGTTTCCTCAGTCCTCAGAGTGCTAAAGGTCGCAATGACACCTTCTACCTGACTCCTGAGCCCGTGGTGGCTCCAAACAGCCCCATTTGGTATTCAACACAACCGATTCCCAGAGAGCACCTGGAGCAGATGCTCACCCGAATTCTTGCTGTCCGTGAAATCCAGGAAGCCCTTAACATGTCGGAGAGCGTCCACTAGTTGGACCGGTGGAGATGTAAAAACAAAAAAGAACTTCTGTTTTTTATCACCCAGCCTTTGAAAGCTCATTATAACTAGTTTGCTCTTCTTACTCCCACTTCTGTTTTCTTTTTGGGGGTGGCATGTATCTGTTTATATTATGTGCCAGCCTAGCTTGGACACAAACTGTATATAAACATAAAATCATTACAGAGGAGGATCTGTCTCATTGAGGCAGTTGCCTGTTTTTTTGTCTTTTTTTTTTTTTGGCCAAAGGATTTAAAGTCTAATCTTTATTTTTAGTGGACCTAAATTTAATTTAAATGTTATTCCAACTGTTGGTTCACCCGACCGATAGTCTGGTATAAATGTTAATTTTCTTGTTTTAATCTGTAATATATTTCCAATTGTCACCATGGTTGGCTTACACTTTGCTGCTTTTCTTTTTTTTTATTCATTGTCTGCCTTGGTCACACAGTCTCACGGCGAAAACTTCAGTGGTATTAGAGAACTGTATTAGAAAGATGATGCTAGATATAAAAAAAAAGTCATGTAAATCCTTTCTGATGGTACATTTCTGGATTGAGTCAACTGCTCATTCGGATATGGTGAGCTTTTGAGATTGCTTAAGTGCACCCTCTGCTGGAGCTCGCCTGTATTGAATCTTGTTAGAAAATAAGTCCTTCCATCTTCTCCCACTTTTCCGTCAGGTTTGCAGTTGGGTCAGTGCCTATGCCCATCAGTTTATAGGCGTAAGGCGTGGTACACCCTGTACAGGTCACCAGTCTGTCGCAGGGCAATGTAGAGACATGCACCCATTCACTCATACTCACACCTGAGGCCAATTAACTTAACAGTCATGTTTTTTGGACTGTGGGAGGAAGCCAGAGAACCCACGCATGCACGGGGAGAAGATGCAAACTCCATGCAGAAAGACCCTGGACGGGGAATCGAACCCAAAACCTTGCTGCAAGGCAACAGTGCTACAAAGTGCACCACCTTGCAGCCCGGAAATAAATCCAGCATGGATTTTATTGCTACTTTCTGGCCCCACCTAATAGCACTTGCCACAGGGTGAAGGTGTGGCAAAGGAAGCGCTGTGGACGCAAACTTTATCTTTAAAGGACATCGAGGATTATAGACGGATCCAACGCTTCATGTCGACTCTACTCTGAATGATTAAAGACTTAGACTGGGTTTTCCCTGTATGTTCTATATTGTATAATACCAGTAGTTTCTCCATGAACTGTAATGAGTTTCAGTCCTTTAAGGAGAATGGCAGTGCCTGTGTTTTTCAAACATGACCTTTTTTGTACAGCCACTACAAAATGTGTCTGTCTTTGCTGCAAACTGAAACCCGATTGATGGGCTTGATAGTTTTAATATGAAAGGAATAAAATGGGAAATTTTATTGCAACAGTTAATATAATACATGTCAGCAGTGCTCTATCACCAATGGAGATTTAAAAAAAAAAGCCCCACAGCTGCCCTCACCAGGAATATTAGCTCAGAAGTTTTTTGTTGACCTAAAAAAAAGGCTCTGCCTGCAGTATTTTACTGGATGCAAAGGTAGCAGCTTCCGTTTCTCATGAATAGTAGATTAGCAGAATAACAGGTTTAGCCTGATGAATTATTCCCTTAGTTTTTCATCCTGGTTACAGTACAAACTGCTGTGTCGGTGTTAAAAACATTTATCTGTGTTGTCACGGCAGTTCTTTGCCTCTGGGGCTTCTCAGTGTACATACAGCAGCGTATCTGCAGTCATTAGCTACACCCTTAGAAGTTCAATATTAAGCAGCATGAAGAATGTATTTTCTCTTTTACATCAGATGTCATGCTTTTCAGCGCTTCTATGCATTCTTCAAAATGTCTTTAGGCATTTTGCGATGCCTGATTCATCTGTGACAAGGAGGGTATCAGCCTCCTCAGCAGGTTCCCAGGTTTAAAACTCTGCTGCACTGTGTTCTGGGGTTGGTCTGCCGAAGGTTTCTGTTGGGAGCTTTGTCGTTTCCTCCTCCCTGAGCTCTGCGGTCGATCCTTCTTGGCTTGGTTAGAAATCAAACCCGGTCCCTGCATCTGTTGCCTGCCGTGAAAGAGGAGATGTTCAGTTCTTATAGGTTGCATCACCTTCTAATCCTGCCTGTCTGCTCTCAGTGAGGGCCTATTTCTCAATTCTTACCTTGGTGATACTCCTTCGCCAAGCCAATGTAACAGACAGTGATGAATAAGTATATACTGTTCCTGAGTACACACAAAAGAAGATTATAAAATTATTTTGAAACAAGGAATGCGTCAGGAAAGTGAAAAGGGTCTGAAGCAAATAGCTAAAATATGTCAGATATATATCAATCTACATAGAAATATTAATTATACACAAGTTTACATTTCAAAAGTTTCAATTGGATTTTTATGGCTTATAACTAGTGACAATTTAAATAGTTCATAAGTTCAATAAAATAGGATTTTTAATGCATAGATGTTCCACAGAAAAGAATGTACACTACAGTGAGGATGCATTACTTTGGGGCAATTTTTGCATTGCTTATATCAGTACAGGATGGTCTAGATTCAGTCAGGTCAGCCTGTGGCACACCTGAGCTTCCTTTTATAGGAAACTTAAACTCATATGCATTGTTTGGTTTGATGTTTCATGTCATCCTTCTGATAATACACTTTGTATGAATAATTCCAATGGTTTAGGTCAGGCTATGAGGATGTCAAGCACTGTTAGAGGCAACCAATTCTATTTTTCTCCTTAGACCAGTGCCATAGACCATAACAGATGACTGTCATCCTAAATCAGGTTAGAAATGCATCATTTGCAGCCTGAATATATCTGGGTAAGGCCTTTTGAAGCTTCAGTTTCAGCTGAAGTCCCAGTTCTGTAAAGTTTCGCCAAACTCTTGAATGGAATTTGCTTCACAATCCTCCTAAAGTTACAGTTGTCCCTTTTTGTGCTCTCATTTAGATTAGGGTTTGTAATTTTTTACATGTGCTTACAACCAAGTCATATGAATGCAAAACCATTTTTTTTTTTTTTTTTTTTTTTATGTGAAACCTAATATCGGGTTTTTTATTAGCTGTTAGCTGTTGGCAGAACATTCATGAGTTTTCTCACTCAAATTCATTGCTGACATATTCAATACTTTATTTAAATTGTTTTTTTAAAGTTATATTTTATTCATCTCGATGTTATAAATGCATTTTTTATACAAAACTAAAACAGGAGGCCTTTTGCTTTGTTTGGTAGAGTAATTGTGTTGTAATTGGATATTCTTAGTGTTTGATAACAGCTTTCTACCACATGTTGATGTGCAAGGCACGCAACTACAGGAAGCCTATGAATATGAGTACTCAGTGCTGCTGTGTGAATGTATGTATACAGCCTTAACAAATATCAGCATAACTTGTACCAATTGTTGAGCACGGTGCTGGAGGGGTGATGATTTGAACTGTTTTTGCAGTAGCAGCATTGTTTGGCATTCTGGTATGACGACATCTGTCTGACACTAAAAGCGGATCCCAAAGTGAGACATCGAATAGTAGTTTGAACAAATGCAATTTTGCCAAAATGGCTAAAAAAGGAAAGAAAGTTGTTTCTGAACATGTCCATGTTAGATGTTTTTTTTCACATCCAAAGTTAGATACTAAAATGTAAAGAAGCTGTTCAGCAGAATCAATTTAGATTTAATATTTTTTTTTTTTTTTTTGGAGGAATGGGATTAGCCTTTTACTTGATCCGCATTGTACAATTTTATTCCTGGGCTTCCTTTGATAACTTTTTGCCAGTTGGTAGTAAATGATTAACTGCATCTGACTATATTCTATGCTAATTAGGATAAAGTTCAGATCCCTAGATTTGCATTTAAGACTATATGTCTGGATAAAACCAGATCTGGATCTGCATTTGGAACCAACTGAATTCTGTTTATCAAGATGTGAATCAGACCTGCCTGTTCATTGTTTGTTGTGAATAGTTTCAAGGCCGTGATTAACCCGAGTGGAACTGGGTGGTAATTGGGCTGTTAAGTAATTATAGCAATAAAAATGTTGATCGGGGTAGACTTACAAGAGTCTGGACCATCCACATTCGATGCAGCCGAAGGTCCTTCACAGCAGCTTTGATGTCAGGTTGGATCCCTCTCACACACAGCTGCATCAGCCACAACAATGTCACGAACGTCCCTGACCGGCCAATGCCTGCACTGAACACAGGAGCCAAAAACATAACCATTAGACCTAGGGGCATCGTAGGGGAGAACAGGAAGATTCCAAGGGCCTGTGACTGAAGGTCCCCCAAAGACATGTTCCACAATATATTTCAAATATAAAGAAAATCTGACGGTAACAAAAATTATCTTTGTGTTCTCACAGATTTCTCAGTACTAAAGGGCAAAAAAGGCCCTTTTTTTCTGAACCAACCCATTTCAAGAAATGGTTTGGTCCACAGGTCCTACCTTTGTGCATCGGGCCCCCGTCTATCAGCAGCAGTTTGCTTGTATCGGGGTTTTAGTGCCACACTCACATCATTTGACATAGTGACAATGAATAAATCAAATAAACAAGAAAATGTGTAACAGCAGTGTGGAAAAAATCTCCATGGCTAAAGAGTGCAGCACCCCCAGAAACCAAAGTCTGGTTTTCAAAAAAGAACAAAAAGAAAGGAGAAAGAGGAGAGACGGAGAAAGACGTTCCACACGTGACTCAGTTTTTTAAGAAAGGTGTTACCTGAGTAACAGTTGATCATTAACCTGTTGAGTAAAATAATAAAACCTGCTGGCTACAACTACTGAGTCAACCCTCCTTAAGATCAGAGGGCCAGCCATCTGTGCACTGCTGTTTGTCTTAAACAGAAAATAATTGAAGTTTGTTGATTTTTTTTAAATTAATTAATTTATTTTTTTAAGAAAATTAAACCACGGTTAATCCAGTATTTGTAATTAGCCTATCATGTGTCTGTAAATAACACAGAGGCCAAGCAACTAAACCAGAAAGCACACAGAGTTAGGAATTTGCACAAACATACCATGCAACAGGAAAATGTCATATTCTTTAGAGGGTTAATATCAGTTGTGGCCAGAGGTATCAAGTAACAAAGAACAAATACTTCTTTACTGTACTTAATTACACTTTTTAGGTATCTATACTTTACTCCATTACTTATTTTTCTTCCTACTTCTGACTTCTACTCATTACATTTTCCCACAAGTATCTGTACTTTCTATTCCTTAAATTTTTAAAATGTTACTCGTTACTTTTGGCTTTGGTTTAATGTTTATAGATATTTATTTCACGTCATGTGCGCCATCCAATGCAGATCATTGCCGCCATTCACATGTAGTGAAAACTAGTGTCATTGGATGAGTCATATAATGCAAACACTCATTGGTTAGCTATTTGTCAAATTTGTGCTAATTTGTGCCGCCAAAGGAAATCATCAGAAGCAAGCAGGTGTTCTTCAAACTGCAAACATGAATTGTCTATGCTGTGCTACAATGCTGGATTCAGAAAAGATGTTGAAATGCCTTAAAGGTCGGACACAGGCGAGAGCGTATCGGGAGATCGAGACCAACAAGATCTCCCTCATCCTTGGCCCTATCTCAAAGAAATTTTGCAAAATAGTTGAAAAATTTAGCTTTAAAATTCATATAGTGGCATATGACTGTTTCTTTTTTTAAAGGTTACTTTATACTTTTATACTTTAAGTCGTTTTTGGAGCACATACTTTTACACTTTTACTTGAGTAAAGAGTTCAAGTTCATACTTTAACTTTTACCAGAGTGTTTTTAAACTTCAGTATCTATACTTCTACTTAAGTAACAAATGTGTGTACTTTTGACACCACTGTTAAAATGCGTGTTAAACTGCATTTTCTAGAGTCAAAACGCATGTTAAAATGTCCTCTCTGGAGTCAAAATGCGTGTTAAACTACATTTTCTAGAGTCAAAACGCATGTTAAAATGTCCTCTCTGGAGTCAAAATACGTATTAAAGTGCCATCTATGGAGGTAAACCATAAATGAAAGTGCCATCTCTGGAGTCAAAACATACATTAAAGTGCCCTCTCTAGAGTAAAAATGCATGTTAAAGTGACCTCTCTGGAGTCAAAATACGTGTTAAACTGCATTTTCTAGAGTCAAAACGCATGTTAAAGTGCTCTCTCTGGAGTCAAAATATGTGTTAAAATGCCATCTATGGAGGTAAACCACAAATGAAGGTGCCATCTCTGGAGTCAAAACATACATTAAAGTGCCCCCTCTAGAGTAAAAATGCGTGTCAAAGTGCTCTCTCTGGAGTCAAAAAGGTTTTTAAGTGCCCTCTCTGGAATCCATGTCAATGTCTGTCATGGGGCCCCAAATCTTTGGGGGCGACCCTGTTTAAACAAAGAGTTTTTAGAGAAGAAAACGGTGTTAAACTCAAACATCTCACCTGCAGTGAACCACAGCTGGACCCAGGCGGGGAAGAGATTCCAAATGCTGCCGTACATGCTCAGTGAATGCACACAAAGAAAATGGGTTCGGGACACCCTGGTCCGGCCAGGACGGGTAGTAGTAGTGAGTGATTATCCTGTCATTCGGCAGGTCCCTCTGAAAAACAAACATGTTATCTGTTCTGCCTATAGGGGGTAATAGGTCAGTGCAAAATTTAAAGGGAGGGGGATAGGCCTCTCTCTAACCTGTCGTAGGTTAATGGTTGTCACAAAATAATCTGGACCCTGTTTCCGAGTCACTGTTGTTATTTGGAAAAGTCCATGATACACTGTCCCTTCTTCCAGCGACCAATACTTATCACACAGGATCTGTACACAGAAGAGACACAGTCACTCATGCAGAACAGAATTGGTAAAATAAAGTACACTTTTATTTTAGTATGATGCTTTTAGTTTAACCTCAACTGCACAAAAACATAAAAGTGCACACTGTGATAAAACAGATGAGGCCAACATGACTCTATAAGAGTCATGATTTGTTAAGCAAATGCCCCTGATGAACGGATCATCCTCAGTGTTGAAAATCTATAAAAACTAGAGCTTTCGTAGATAGATGGCCTGAAGCAAACAGGTGGAATTTAGCAAAACACAAAGAAAGAAAAGCAGCAGTAATGAGTAAAAAAAAACTTGCTGAAAACAAATATGACAGGATGTATATTGTACTTTGAGACAATTTAAAGTTTACAAGATAATTCTGGAAACAACAACAAATATCTCTACATGTTCAAGATTATATTCTATACGTTTCAGAGAAAAACTTAAAATTAAAAAAATATGAGGAGCCAACTCCATGTTCTAAAGCAGTGGAGTCAAAATGTTGTGTCAAAATAACACCTGCTAGTAAGGACTAAAAATGATGTGAGCAAACCATCTTGGGTGTCTGTAATCATGTAATTAGTGTAATGCAGGGGAGTGGCGGCTTGTTGGTTAGGGCATAGAGCTTTGAATCCTGAGGTTCTGAGTTCGAGCCCCACTCCCACTGACTGCCACTCGGGGTCTCTGAGCAAGACCCTTAACCCCACACTGCTCACCGGGAGCCCCATGGTGGCAGCCCACTGCTCTCAAAGGGGATGTTTTAAATTCAGAGATAAATTTCTCCAATGTGAGACCCGTAAAGTTCAATTATTATTATTATTAATGTATAATATACTGCATATAGGGCTGCAGGTGGTCACTTTGCTGTTTGGTGACATGGTGTGTACCACACTCAACATGGACCAGGAGACTTGAAGTTCAGTTGTCTCAGGAGATTAGAAGAAAATACAGACAACATGTTAAATGTAAAAGCTATAAGACCATTTCCAGCAGCTCAATACTTCTGTGACAACAGCTGCACATATGACTAGAAATGTATTTGTGACGCTGTAGCCAACCTCCCTGGATGTGACAGCAGGAGGAAAGACATGATATGAATGGTAACAAAAGAGCCCTAAAAGACTTCTGAAAAGCTTGAAGGTGAACTTTAAGCTCAAGGAACATCAATGTCACACCATCATTGTTTGAACCACAGTGGACTTAATGGGAGAGGACCAAGGAGGACACCATTATGGAAAACAAATGATAACAGAGCCACTAGAATTTTCTAAACTATCTGCTGACAAGGCACACAGCTTCTGGGAGAATGTGCTATGGACAGATGAGAAAAAAAAACCTAAACTTTTTGTTAATGTTGAAGGTGATACCACAAGCTACTGAAAAATTTGACTTTTTTTTTTTTAAATAATGAAGTGAGATTATAATAAGAAGAACCTGAGAATCACCGGATCAGTTTTTTTATTTTCTGATTTGTAATATTTGAAATGCTGAGAGAGGTTCACTTTCTTTTCTCATCATTAAAATTTGATTGACTTTATAGATAAAAAAACTAATAATAACAAAAAAAAAGTATTAATCAAAAGATTTAAAGTATTTTTGACCAGAAGCTTTTCTCTGTAGCACCTTCATGGTTGCACTATTGCCACATAATACACATAATAGTGCAACTTGTTAATGTGTGCTGTGTGGTTGGATAGAGTTAGGACAGAGCCAGGCAACTGAAAACAAAAACAAGTGTTTTGTGAGGTTTTGCAATCTGTTGAAAGGATCTAATTAGACCCTATGCATAATATAATCCCCACAAGGGATATTTTTCAGCTTAAGCCTTTGCTAGAATAACTGGAGTTATTTTTTTTCTTCAAAATCATAATGAAGTCTTGTTCCCTACTTCTGTAACTGAATTTGGGGAAAGCTATGATAAGCTGCTAGTACGTCTCTTAGGTGAAAAAAAAAAATAAATAAAGAAAAACAGAAAAAATCAAATGAGAATCTCACTGTGCTCTTTTGTCTCAGAGCGGTCACCATGACGATTATCCTGACGTTTTGCTCCCACACCATCCTCCAAAAGTCTGCTACAGTGTTGGGCAAAGGACCTTGGGTGCAGATAAAGTCTCTCTCTGATCCTCCGCCCTAAATGCAGGAAAAAAAAAGGTCACAGGGAGGCTAAGATGGTGGGAAAAGTGACACAAGCTAAGAGTATGAGTGAGCTCTCTTACAGGGACAAAACTGGCATTGATGTAATCAGAATTTGGGTTCTGGTTTTGAACTGACAGCCTCACACGACAGTGATCATCTGCAATTAGATTGAGTAAAATGAAGATCTCAAAAATGTCCAGATATACTCATGGTAATCAGCAGCAACACAAGAAGAGGTTCACTTACATGGCAAAATGTGAGGGTATCTGTTTTTTTCTCTATTGGCCTCCAAGCCCCCTGCTCTGTTGGGGAGGTCTTTCCCAACATCATTCAGCTCCTGCTGAGAATCAGAGGAATAAAAACACATTATAAACACTTTACCCTTGATAAAAACTCTGTTTATGCTTGTAGTCGTTACCCCAAACTCTTGTTTAAAGCCTCGGTTGTTATTGGCAGCCAGTTTGTTGCACTGAGAATTCAACTCTTGAAGAATCTGTGATCTTGAGAAAGTCTCCATCCTTCAAAACATCATTTGATAAAATTCAACTTAAATGTAAGGACCAAAAACTAAACTCACTCATCTAATATTACAATCACAATACGTTTATTTCCCCTAAAAAACACAGTTTACATTTACAGTTGACTGTAAATGTGGCTAAATTACATTACTAACATTGTTTTGTGTAACAATAAAAGATATTTGTTCAATGTTTGAAATGAAACCTACAGTTTTAAATTCAAAAATAACCCCAAACCTCATATTTCAAGCAATCTTTTAAATGCCAATGAATTTGCTGTAAAGCTTACCTCATGTTTTGTTTTTCCTGAAGACAATCCTGTCCTTTAGGAATCAACTCAGTGGGGACAGTCTAAAGCTGTGGTCATGACGTCAGTGCTGATCATGCAAAGAATCCTGACAAAAGAAACGAAAAGAGTAAACACTAAAGTCTAAGATTACCAATTGTTTTAGCTACAAGTCAGGAGTACAGTCAACTTCTAATCTTTTATTTTTCTGTTTTAAAATGAGTAATCCAAGGCAAACATCTCCTTCAGGGGACCCATTAGGACAGAGAGATTTTTAAGGGAGGAGCAAATCCAAATATTCACAAAGAACAATTATCAGCCCACTCACCTGACAAGAAAGAAAACCTGTTGGTCGAGTTTCTAACACTGTGAGTGTGGCATGTCTGCTTCAGACCTGTCGTTCCAAGGCCCAAAACAATCGACTAAAGTTCTCGACAGGGCTAGAAGCTCGATCTGAGCTCTCCACTCTCCACAGGTTGTCTTAAGGTTGCCAGGTTGTGTTAAGGCTTTCTGAAGCTGTCTCATGGCAATTTGAAATGACACATGGGTGGGGAAGGTGGGCGGGGAAGGTCCATAAGACATCAGGGGAGGGACGAAGCGTGAGAAACCCTGAGCTATTATTTCCTCTTGTAAAGTCAACCCTTTCTTTTTAACAGAATGTTCTAATCAGTTCTAGGAAATCTCTAGAGATCGGTGTCCTCTTTTCTAGACAATTTGTAAAGAATATGCATTTATATATATATATATATATATATATATATATATATATATATATATAGATAGATAGATAGATAGATAGATAGATAGATAGATAGATAGATAGATAGATATATATATACACTATATTGCCAAAAGTATTTGCTCACCTGCCTTGACTCACATATGAGCTTAAGTGACATCCCGTTCCTAATCCATAGGGTTCAATATGACGTCGGTCCACCCTTTGCAGCTAGAACAGCTTCAACTCTTCTGGGAAGGCTGTCCACAAGGTTTAGGAGTGTGTTTATGGGAATTTTTGACCATTCTTCCAGAAGCGCATTTGTGAGGTCGCACACTGATGTTGGACGAGAAGGCCTGGCTCTCAGTCTCCGCTCTAATTCATCCCAAAGGTGTTCTATCGGGTTGAGGTCAGGACTCTGTGCAGGCCAGTCAAGTTCATCCACACCAGACTCTGTCATCCATGTCTTTATGGACCTTGCTTTGTGCACTGGTGCACAGTCATGTTGGAAGAGGAAGGGGCCAGCTCCAAACTGTTCCCACAAAGTTGGGAGCATGGAATTGTCCAAAATGTCTTGGTATGCTGAAGCATTCAGAGTTCCTTTCACTGGAACTAAGGGGCCAAGCCCAGCTCCTGAAAAACAACCCCACACCATAATCCCCCCTCCACCAAACTTTACACTTGGCACAATGCAGTCAGACAAGTACCGTTCTCCTGGCAACCGCCAAACCCAGACCCGTCCATCAGATTGCCAGATGGAGAAGCGCGATTCGTCACTCCAGAGAACGCGTCTCCACTGCTCTAGAGTCCAGTGGCGGCGTGCTTTACACCACCGCATCCGACGCTTTGCATTGCACTTGGTGATGTATGGCTTGGATGCAGCTGCTCGACCATGGAAACCCATTCCATGAAGCTCTCTGCGCACTGTTCTTGAGCTAATCTGAAGGCCACATGAAGTTTGGAGGTCTGTAGTGATTGACTCTGCAGAAAGTTGGCGACCTCTTCGCACTATGCGCGTCAGCATCCGCTGACCCCGCTCCGTCAGTTTACGTGGCCTACCACTTCGTGGCTGAGTTGCTGTCGTTCCCAAACACTTCCATTTTCTTATAATACAGCTGACAGTTGACTGTGGAATATTTAGGAGCGAGGAAATTTCACGACTGGATTTGTTGCACAGGTGGCATCCTATCACAGTTCCACGCTGGAATTCACTGAGCTCCTGAGAGCGACCCATTCTTTCACAAATGTTTGTAAAAACAGTCTGCATGCCTAGGTGCTTGAATTTATACACCTGTGGCCATGGAAGTGATTGGAACACCTGATTCCAATAATTTGGATGGGTGAGCAAATACTTTTGGCAATATAGTGTATATATATATATATATATATATGTCACAGTAAAAACAATCATTACAGATACAATCTTATACTGTTGCACATAAGAACTAACAAAAAACATAGTGGAACATGCCTATGTCATGATGCTGCCATCACCGTGTCGGACTGCACAGTAAATGTAGGATGAAACCTTTAGAGAGACTAACCATATATTTTTACAGCTACAGTTTGCATTGATATCAGGGTTTAGCAGTATTATTACTTCATAGATCGTAACTATTTCTTATTAGGTTTAAGCAGCATGTTGCTTATTACAAAACTTGGCAACGATTTTAACTATTTAAAAATGTGTATTTCATCAGCTTATCTTTTTCTTAAATTCTCGATCAATAACAACAAATAAAAACCAGGAATGTAATAGGCTAAATAATTTAAAAGGACAAATACTACAAAATGCAACACTTATGTATTTTTAGCTGATATTCGTTCTTACAACCGGGCTCATAAGGTTGGGTAAAAAAATAAACATACCTGTCTTAGTGGACAGTTTGTTTTTTTTACTCCTTTTTATGAAACTAAACTCAAGGACTAAGTTAAACATGGATGATAGAAGTTTAAATAGACTAGAAACATTTGGTTCCCATTCAACACCTGACACCTGGACACTCCCACCTTACTCAGCATGTCAGAACAGGTTTGGTCCAAACAGCCTACAAAAATAACTAGTGTGACTGCATCATGCTGTGCTATACAAAATAAAATCATGATAATAGAGCTTGTTTCTATAGAGGATCTTTATTTGTGGTATAAATAGCTACATTTACCTCATTGTTATAAAGTACAACTGCTGTGCTGGGAATGTATTCTCAGGAGTTGGTATAGAAAACACAAACAGGTTGGACAACATTTGAAACCCTTATTCTCGGCTTCCATGTCAGGCTGTGACAAAAAAAAAAGAAATCAAGTCAATCAGCATGCTGATGGTGCTGGGCATGGTGGCGTGCGTTTCTTCTTTCGGTTTTGATAAGCTCCTATCGCAGCCGCCTGGCTCTGATTGGGCAGCAGCGGAGAAAGAAGGAAGTAAGAAGCGTCGAGTTATTTTCCTGCGCTTTAAACCGTAGAAAAAGCGAAACACGAGACAATCCTGGAAGCTCTGGCAGGTTTATGCAGATATAAACACTGTGAGGCGAGCGGCAGGGAGAGACCGAAAAGTTTGACTGTTGCAATGGATTAAAGTGAAAGGGCACACTTTCTTTCTTCCTGCTCGGCTCGACTCCAGGAAAACCTACAGATTTTATTCCGACTTTTTAATGAAGATTAAACCATGAGCCGCGAGCGAGCAGGCATGGATCATGCAAGAGCGCCAGTCACACAGGAAAGAAAGGTAAATGTGTAATATGCGGTAATTAGAGATTAAATTACAGGTTTGTTGGATGTAAACGGAACGACTATGTGTTCATTGGCTTAGTTTCATTATTGGAAATCTGTTTTATAATAAACAGAGTGGTTCATTGAATTGACAGTTCAGGTCATGACAGAAAAAAAAACTATGGTGGGCTTATGCTGTCCAGGACACGAAACACATGGTGTTAATGGGCACAAGAGGGCGCTAATGAGTCTCACACGCATCCGTAATGAAAGTGAAACGATTTAGTGATTTAAAAAGGCTTATAAATCTATGGGGTGCCGTTTGTGAAGAAAAGCAGTAAAAAATTAGAAGCAATATTTATGGCTGTTTAGCGCGTTTTAAGAGAAAATAACCAGGATATTTTCTTGCAAGTAATTTTTTTTCACTATGTCATTTATAAAAAGTCTTACTTTGTTAAATAAATATTTAGTTTAGAAATTAAATATTTATTATTTAAATTAATATTTAGCTCCAAACTAAATATTTATTTTTTTCTAATAAATATTTAGCTTCAAATTAAATATTTAGTTTGTTAAATAAATATTAAGCTCCAAAATATTTAGTTTTTTAAATAAATATTTAGCTTCAAATTAAATATTTAGTTTGTTAAATAAATATTTAACTCTAAAATAAATATTTAGTTTGTTAAATAAATATTTAGCTTCGAACTAAATATTTAGTTTGTTATTTAAATATTTAGCTCCAAACTAAATATTTAGCTTTTTTGAATAAATATTTAGCTTCAAAATAAATATTTAGTTTGTTAAATAAATATTTAGTTCCAAAATACAAATTTAGTTTGTTAAATAAATATTTAGCTTCAAATTTAATATTTAGTTTGTTAAATATTTAGTTCCAAAATACATATTTAGTTTGTTAAATGAATATTAAGCTTCAAATTTAATATTTAGTTTGTTAAATAAATATTTAGCTCCAAAAAAATATTTAGTTTGCAAATTAAATATTTAGTTTTTTTTAATAAATATTTAGCTCCAAACTGAGTATGTAGTTTGTTAAATATTTAGGGTGTAAAGCAATAATCAGTTCATAACACAATAAAATACAAATTCAAATTCATAATGTTGGTAGGGGGAAAGACAATGCTTGGCCAAGAAGTGTTTCTTATTTAATTTTCACAGCGTGTGCAACTCTGCTTGCTTGTGTGGCTTTTATGGGATGGCACTGCATTAAACAAGCATAGTTTATTGCGGAGGTCTTCAACAGGGGGTCCGCTACCCCTAGGGGGTCCACTGAGGTACTGCATGGGGGTCGCAAAAGTTTTGGTTGATTAGACCTTTTTTTATATACCCTCCTGCAATTTTTTCTATCAATTGAAAGGTATTTAAATATATATTAACATGAATTGAACACACTATAGTAAACAGATAAATGGAGGCAGAAGATGTCTTTCAGTCATCAATGCGCACATTCAGGGACACACAGACACTCTTTTAAGCTGGGCACCGTTTCATTCACAACACCTGTCCCATCAACCAGGAATAGAATCAGTAATATTTAAATTATCCCAGGATGAAATTACTTTCGTTACATTACTCCATATGTAATAGAGTGCCTATAGCACCAGTTTGATATAACACAATTTCATACATTATACATAATAAGGGGGTTCCTGCTCCATCTCGCCATTAGTTTTGGGGTGCTTGGCCTGGAAAACGTTGAAGACCCCTGGTTAATTGGATGAAATCACATACTGGTGCAACAATGCTGCTGCAGTGCCTGTTCCTATTCTATTCTATTTTTTCTTCTGCTTTTTTTTTCACCCTTTAGTGTTTGAGAAAATCTAACAAATGTTAACATTCAAAAGGAAATCACAAGTGAACAAAATTGGTTTAAATGAAAGCTTACATTTTTTATATAAGAAAGAGACTTGGCAAAAATGGCCTGCATGACGAAAACCACTGCCGAGCAAAATTAACATTAAGACTTGTCCTAATATCTTAGAGATCCCCAAGACTGTTGCTATGGTCTATGGACCATCAAGACAAAAGGTTTGTGTCTCATTTATATTTACAGGCATTAAATACAGTAGTAGCGAGGCGATTGTGGGGCTGTTTGCTGCTACAGGACCTGGAAGACTTGCTTTGATAAATGAAACCATGATACCTAAAAATCCTGAAGGAGAACATCTTATCATCTTTTTGTAAATTTAACCTGAAACAAACCTGGGTTCTGTAGCAGGACAGTGGTCCAAATAACACTAGAAAGTCCACCTATAAATGGCTGAAGGAAAAACAAAATAAATACTTTGAATTGGCCTAGTCAAAGCCCTGAGCTGATTCCTGTTAAGATACTGTACCATGAAATTAAAATGGCCATTACTGCTGAAACCATTTAGTGTGAGGAGCAGATCACCATATATCCACAGCAAGTTATCACACACACTGCAATTGTTGCTGCTGGATCAACCACCTGTTAAGGGTAGGCGAAAAACGCTTTTTTTTCTTCTCTCTTAATGATTAAAACTTTGACTAAAAACAAAATGCTGTGTTTAGGCTACCCGTAATATATCTACATTTGCTTGCTGTTCTAAAACTTCATATGCATTCAGCTTTACAACAGTGACCAAGCAGCTTAGTAGTGAAATGAAGATTTCAATTTATAAAGTGCAGCAGTGATGAAAATGCAAGCAGTAAGGGAGAGACATGGTGCAAAAGGCATTGATGTGGTAGGTTCAGATTAGGGCAAAAATAGATAAATATGCTGCAGAATGCGGCAGAAACAATGAGTTGAATGTTACTTAAAGGGATTTGGAAACACTTAAGTGTGTTTTCTCACTAATTTGCACAATTGTTTCCTCAGTTTCTCGACACTTGTAATCTTATCTCATCAGCTGTGATATTAGTGCTTTAATTGTTCAAGAAGCTCAATAACTTAGTGATTTAAAGTATTTTGTTACATCAAAGTGTTCATAAATAAAGTTAGATTTGGATTGAGCTGAACTATATTTAATTAGTTTAATATTTTAATGATCCATGAAAATGGGCTGGGGTGTAGTAAGCTGGGCTGCATGGTGGTGTCGTTAGTAGTAATGGTGCAAGTGTTGCCATGATCCTTAATGTAGAAAGCAAAGGGATAGATTAGGGCTTGGGGATAATCAGTTTGATTGATTAATTACATTTTCTGTTTATCAAGATCGATTTTTGGAAAATCTGATCTTTTTTTTTTCCACCAGTCTACTCGTTGGGCTTCAATATCTCAGAGTGGCATTGGTTCAACACTTCTTGCTCTTAGAGTGTGATAAACTAGCTCACTGCTTAATGGGGTGTCCCCATCTGACATATGTATATGTGTCCGATATTTGCTAAAAAACTAAGATCAGACTATATTGGCTGGAGTCTAAAATCTCCAATATTGTCAGGCTGATAGAAACACTGCTTCTGATTAAAGTCTCTTTAACTCATAGGTTAAAGAGACATTGTGTAAGTTTTCACTTTAAAATATCTTTAAATTAGCCTTTTTATTTCAGCATTTATGACTAAAGAATTGTTTGAAGTGCAGACTGACACTTCGGTATTTCAACGCCAATGCATCCATAAGCCTGCAACCTATTTTCCTGAGTTGTTTTTATTTCGTTAAATTGATATTACTTTAAACTGACAAAATGTAGCTGCTTTTCTTTATTATTAAAAATATATTTTTCCTGCTTTCACTGGCCACTTTATATGGAGAACCAGCTCTACCATATTTAAAAGTAAATGCAGAAATAAATAAACGCACAATAAATAAATAAGCATAATTGCCCCCCAAAACACATTAAACAAGTAAATGTAGGTAGAAATGAAATCATAAAGTGAGACATAAATCTATATATCTCTTTTAATTAGCTTCTTTACTTATCGCCTTTGTAATAATTACCATTAAATTGCTTATATCTCCCTAATTTCTTATTCTTTTGCTCTTTTTGAGTCACCTTTTCTGCTCTAGATGCTTAAATGCTCTGAGGTTTAGCTACATAATTGGCTAAATGACTGTTTTTGTTAAACAATTGGAGGAGTTCCCATTACAATGGAGATGTAACCTTTGATTTATGTTGCCTTATATAAATTTCTCAGAATGAACTTTCAGTGTCTCCACTCACTGGTGAAGTTCCTACTGATGTGTTTCTAGTTTAATTAAAAGTGTTGTTTTTTTTATTATTTTTTTCCTGGTACAATTACATTTATAGATGTTTAAAAAAACAAAAAACTTGTCAGTTTATTTTCCTGTGATCTATGTCGTAACAATATTTTTACAACTTAAAGAGATGACCTAAACTGTTACATAAGTAAGACAATAAACAGATTTATGAAACGGGCTCTCATCAACATAACCTTTGAACATTATTTGAATCTGGTATCAACAAATCTGTTCATTAAATTAGCTTGTTAGATTTTTACTCTGTGAAGACTTTTTTTTTTTCTTTTTACATGTTGTTGAATTAGTTGATCTGAAATAAATATGCATTTTTTCCCCTAGTGTTAAAACCAGGGATAAAGGTAGTGTTAATTTCTTGCCGGTACTATACAAAAATAACAACAACAAAAAAACAAACAAATGCATTTTAGAAATGTAAAAATGTTTTCAGATGTAATCCAGCATATTCTAGATATAACAGCCAAGTCAAATTTTTGTACTTTTGATGTAAAGCCTTTGATTTCTCATTTTTGATCATTTAAGAAGAAGAAAAAATATCAAAGTATGTATTTAGGGTTGACTGATATTTAATGATTAATAAAAAAATTAAATACACACACAGAGTTATTCTTTATGTTCAGAATTATTTTCATAATTCCAACATTTTCCTCTTTCCCATCCATTTAAAAATGTTAACAATAAATGCCCCCTCACAATTAATTTACACCTTTTATATAAACTTTTATGGCGTTTCATAAAATTTCATAAAATCTCATGAACAGTTTCACCCATGGCATCCACTTAAATTTATGAAGCATCTTATAGGGGCTTGATAGGACAAGCCTGCCTGATAATGCAATGAAAATTCAGAACTTTACTTAAAAACGATGTAAACTTGCTTGGCTCCAGGTACTTAGAGATTCACTTCCATACAGAAAGCCCACATCCGTATCTTTAGGTAACACAGAGTACATGTCAGACTTAATAATATTACTTTAGCGATAGTTTCAAGGTGTTGCTTTATTGTATATCTCGTACCATGTCTTTCGGTTGTGCTGTTCTTTTTTCATCTCATTACAGGTGATGAAGCAGACTGAAAATGTTTTGTCATTGTCCCTTTCTATCTCTTCTTTCTTTCATCTTTTCTCTTTTTTTCTCTTCTTTCTTTTTCTTCTTCTGTTTTTCTGCTGTATTTACATTGCAGTGTCCATATAAACTGTAAAACTCCCTGCATAATTATAATAAAGCAATTTATATGCATGAAACAAGTGGAGCTATATGGCATTTGCCATACTGCTACACTTGTGAAAGTAAAATCAGTTGGGCTCTTTTTGGCATCAAGACAATTATTCTTATTGCCACATTGCCAGACAGGACACTGTAAAAAAAAAAAAAAAAAAAAAAAGAATTTTAAGTAAAATATTAAAGGAAACTGAGAAAAAAATATTTATGATTACACAAGGAGCCATTTACATCCTAATTGGAAAAAATAGAACTATTTTTGATAGATATAAAAGAAGACTAGTCGAGGAAGTTTGTCCAAGTTGAGACACTTATTGAATCAGCATGAGTGAGGAACTGGACACCCTTCTCACTGCCTTCTCCATTTGGTAACTGTGCGCTGAAGTTTGTGGCACAAAAGTACGTGTTTATTGGAGACAGCAACTCTTCTAGGTACTGTGTAAGGCAGAGGTGGGAGATGTGGAGTCAACAAGTCATCTTCATGTCATGTATTTTCTCTGGCCAGCCTCTGAACCAGATGAGTCCAATCTTTGCAGTGATTTAAAATGCACAGATTTCATTGACTTGTTTCGGTGGCTGGGCAGAACAAATACATGACATGGACATGACTTGTTGACTCCAACTCTGGTGGATGGGCCCTAAATCTTCATCACCAGATCTTTTTTCACTTCTGGTTCAGATAAAATAAAAACCAAATAAATACAATTAAAGCGACAAGGTTAAAAAAGTTATAATGTCTTTTATAAATATTTCCTTGATTTAACAAGTTCTAATATGTTCTACTTTGACAGATTGACAAGAGGCTGAATGAGAGCACTGCTTCTCCTGCTGATGTACGGTCTTGTGCTACAACTCACTTTGTTTTTGGAGTAACTAGTTCTGAAGTTTTAGTATTTGAGAAAAATATTTTTTGTAAATACAGAATAAAAAGAGACCAATCAGAAGAGTGAAAAGTCCATCTGCACCAAGAGCATGGCTGTCCAGGTCTTACAAACCTAAGTTTGGAGGACATGTCTACAGACCTCGGTCAGTGTCAAGACGTGGTTATTAATATAAATGTTATCTTAAGGAATACACCTGAACTTGATGTGAGCCTGACTTGTTCCTTTTCAATAATGCAGTTTTATGGGAGACAGCCATTCCTTCCACAAAGCTGGCTTCAGCAGTCAGGGCCAGCGCTACCTGAAGCCCCGGGCCTATATCCATCGCAAGGATTATCCTTCACCTAAATCTCGGCAGCTCATGCTGAAAGAGAAGGAGAAGCAGAGGGAGAAAGCAAGGCTGAAAGAGGAGAGTGAAAAGGAGCGTCACGACCAGAGAGAGAGCACTGATGGACGTTCCCCTACAAAACAAAGCAATTGTAAGTTTATGTTAGCAGCAGAAAAAAGTAAATCAACCTTGCGTAGCATCCCTGGTTCTCCAAGGCCTTAAATCCCTCTGTCAAATAAAAAAAAAAATTGGGAGGAACTGGTTGGTAGTTGATTAGAATGCTGGTGGTGATAAATGTATAAAAATGAATACCATGGGCGGTGGTGGTCTAGCTATTAGAGGACCCTGCTGATCTTTTCATATTCACTGGCCTCACTGGGTCTTACCTGCTGTTCATGCACCATGAGGCTGCAATTGGTGTTTGAGCTGCTTCTGTCTCAGGTTTTTACAATTCAAAGTGAGCAAGCAAGTGCTTTAAATCCTTTGCAAGAAAAGCAACGCCTTCAGACATCATGATGTTGCTGGATTTGTTGCTGGTGAGTTGTTGGACTCATTGCCACACCTGCTATGTTTTGTCACTCAACTGATAGTTCTCTTTAAGTTTAAATGAAACTTTATAATCTATGGCTTCTTTTATTAGTTTTTGTACAACCAAACATTTCTCCACTTCTGCTATTATAGTTTTATTTTGAGAATGAAATCAAGAGAAATATCTCATATACGTGAAAAATTCCATAACATACCCTACAGTATGTTGAAGGACAACATTTAGAGCAGTCTTTTCCCTTATTTTGTGCTAAAGTTCACTATAAGATCATTCAAACTGTCACTATGGAGTCTGAAATAGATCTGAACATCTGATTGGTCAATCAACACAAAAACTCAACCCTAGATTGTTTCAACCCCGCCCCCTTGCTTTGAAGATTTAGTCCAACAGATCAAATAAACGACAATGCAGGATTTATGAAATAAAACAATACTCTAACATTTATATACATGTCAATGATATAATGACTACATATTTGTCTTTTTTAAATTGAAAAATAGTTTTTGATTGATGCATCTTAAGATTCTTTGAAAGTTACTATCTATCTATCTATCTATCTATCTATCTATCTATCTATCTATCTATCTATCTATCTATCTATCTATCTATCTATCTATCTATCTATCTATCTATCTATCTATCTATCTATCTATCTATCTATCTATCTATCTATCATCTATCTATCTATCTATCTATCTATCTATCTATCTATCTATCTATCTATCTATCTATCTATCTATCTATCTATCTATCTATCTATCTATCTATCTATCTCTTTTTATAGGTGTTTTAATGCATTGAAGTAGGAGCTATTGACTTCTTTTTACAATAAAAAAGGTTTTCTCTTTTTTCATAAACTTGGAAATTGAAATAGCTCAATAAAACTGCGGCAAAAAAATGGTCCAACGTGACATTTTGTTATATGATAGCTTACCACTAGGTGGGAGTGTAAGCAAGTTGTAGAAATTATCTTATAGAGCCCTTTACACAACAGACATTTGAGAGGCAGCTTCTTATTTTCATATTTGCAGGTTGGTAGGTAGGTAGGTAGGTAGAGGCTCTTTAGTAGCTACAAACCAGAGTTACATAAATATGACAACAAGAATCCTTCCCTGCTGTGTGAGTGCATTATATATATATATATATGTATATATATATATATATATATATATATATATATTATCATCACCAATGAGCTGCTTGCATCCTGCCTTAAACAGGGTGTTGTTGCATTTTTTCCCTTTAGAAGCACATCTGTTAGAAGTCGTAGGAGTTCACAATTTAAAATCCTGATTGTAACACTGAAAATCCACGTATCAGATTTCTGCTGGTATAAACTGGTATCTTTATCTTCCCTTTCACACAGCCATTTTATTTGTGCGCACACTGCAGCACTGTGGAGGTGTGTTTGTGTATGTGTGAGTGAGAAGCAGGTTTTTTTTATTTGTGTGCCTGAGTGATGGTGCGATGATGGTGACTCATCGCTGATTTGTGTGTGTATATGAGAGTGTGAAAGATGAAGAGAGGGAGAGATTTACCCGCAGAACATAATGAACCATAACAAAGCTATGGCTTTACATGGGAGTACTGCAGTCCAGATCAGCAAAGGCTGGCAGGTCATGCCAAAAAAAGAGCGATATTGATCTCAGATCACAATGCTGAAAAAAAAAACAATAACAAGAGGTGGAACATCTGTTCAATTACAAATATATAAAAAACTGGTAAAAAAAATCCAAGGTGTTTGATCTAATTTAGTGTGGTTCATTATCTTGCTGTGCTGCTGAGCTGACCTTGTGGTTTGTGTGTCTTCCAGCTTCTAGGCCTGTCTTACCGAAGTCCACTTCCAGCAGAGACAAGGACATGCATTTCACTGTAAGTTCATAGACTAACATCTGTTTCTTCTCACCTATTTATTAAAAAAAAACTATTATAAGAAAAACTTTGCAGATCCATCTTTTATAATTGCAGACCTTTTTTTTATTTGCTAGATGTCAAAGGATTGTTTTGCAACACAATTATTTTTCATTATTCATTAGATGTATTTATCAAGCTAATACTGATATAAAACAAGCTAAACAGATCTGATAAAAACCAATGCCCTAATAAAAAGGGAACATCAGTAAGAACATTAAACTGGTTGTCAGCAAAAGTTCTCATTATTCTGACATTTCTCCCCAGAAATTACATTTCACAGAATATTCCATGGACTGTGAAGCAACCTTCATTATTTCTGTCCTCTAAATTAAATCTACATATTTGAAACAAATAAAGCTTACAGCTAAAAAAGTTAATGAAAAAGTATAGCAAAATGACTGGACCCCTGAAGCTTCTCTAAGAGTTCGGCACCTTTAGAGATCGCTCCATTAAAGGTTATCTGAAGGTTATATAAAGTTTTTATGATGTAACCTTTAAAGAGTATTTGGAGGACATTCTCTAAGGGCTGCCAAGATGCACTTTGTTCCAAAAATGTTTAGGGAACCTTGAAGCAATATTTTACTGAAGTCTTATATAAATGTTATACACTGAATAAACAGGTGAACTTTAAGAGGAGGAATAGTTCTCAGTGGGTCACATTGTTGAATTTAAAGGTACTTTATCATATATTTTTTAAGTCTTTAAAATGAACTATTGGCATATGAATAATATATTTTCTTTGGCATTGTGGAATATTTGTTCTTACAATGTGGAAAAATATGTTTGCCTTCACTATGACCCTGTCTTTCCCTGTGTGAGTGCCACCCATTTCATGACGTCAGCCTGAAGCTGCTCTAGAATGCTACCAGACCACTTCCAGCAATTAAGCTATTTTTTCAAGCTTTCTTTAGGAAAGATTAAAAAATTTATTTATATAATTTCCAACTTCTAAAACCCTGAAGGATGTGTTTTACATCTTGTCCATATGCAGAGGCGCATTCTGGAGGGACTAAATCAGGGGTAACCAATTAAAAATCAGCGGGGTCCGAATAAAGAAAATCATCAACCGGTAAAGATCCGCAGACATTTTTTAATTATAATCTGTTACTTTAAACCAAATTTAACACTGAAATAAAAAGCAGGTTTTTATTCATCCATGTTATACATTGAATTTTTAAATAAAGAAAATATATAAAAAAAAAGAAGAACATTTTTCCATTTTAAAACCTAAAGTGTTTTTTTTGAAGTAGAGAACAACAATCATTCAGTTGAGTATATAGACAATTTCTTGATTCACATATTTTATAAAACACCAGAACTGACCGTTTAGTTTTTTAAGGCTTAATGAGAGAAGTGGGCTTTAATCTGCCCTGCTAGGCTTTAAACCTGGGTTTGAATGGCAACAAAGCCACTCCCAAACACATATTAAGCCTGGATCAATATTTATTTTTGATTATGGTCATGGTGGAGAATTCTGCTTCCCAGCAGGTTGAGCCAACATTCTCAAAATTTGCAGGGTCATCTTTGAGCACGCCATTTCATTTTTCTTTCACTAGTTCACTTCCAGCAGTCCACACTTTCTCTTTCTTTTTCTCATCATCTTCTCCTTCTTTCCCATCGGCCGGCTTGCCACAGGTTTGCCTGCTGGTTCTAAAAGTAGCTAGCAGCAACCCTGACTGTCAGAAGCTCATTGGCTAATGTGTATCACATGTAGCCTGGTCCCGGCGCTCTGGACGGCTTTTACCATATTAACAGGAGAAGCGGCGCAAGTTAAGTTAGACACTGTCATTGCACAATATACGGTAATTTATAAATGTTTTAAATCTGGACTGGACTAAATGGTCGGTGATGGAAACAGCATTGTAACTATTGGTCTGCTGGAACAATGGAGAATAAAGTGACTTCCTTCCTTCCTTCCTTCCTTCCTTCCTTCCTTCCTTCCTTCCTTCCTTCCTTCCTTCCTTCCTTCCTTCCTTCCTTCCTTCCTTCCTTCCTTCCTTCCTTCCTTCCTTCCGTTGATGACTAAATATAAAAAACAAATATTATTTTCATGTATGTTGTTGCAGCTTACCTAACATATTTGTGTGTGTTTCTTATATGTCTTGTCCCCATGGGTATAAATGCTGTTTTTGGCTTAGGTGTTAGGTTTAGGACTTAGGTGTGAATTGAGTTTAGGGTTAGATATGAACACGTAATGGTTACGTTTATTGTAATAGTCACAGTTAGGCTGTAGAACTCACCCACAAATGAATGGAAGTCAATGGAGAGCCCCCATTAAAATAGTGAAACCAGACTGTGAGTGTGTTAGAAATTTGGCTTAAACATGTTAATTTTATTGTTTTCTTTTTCATCAGTAAGCCATCAGGGATTCTTTTTTCATAAACCCGAAAAATCTTTACATATTGTAATTTTTTAATTATTTTTCCTTTCATATTATTGTATTCAATAATTTATGCATCCACTTATGGTATTGGTAATATGTTTATACAGTGTAAATGGATAATTGCTTTTGTTCACCACACAAGAGTGCAGATCAAAGAGTTTTTTCAGTTTGATATCAAACGGCTCAGGTGGCTGAAATCAAAGGGTTGCACGGTTATCTTTGCTGATGTTAGCACAGCAGGTAGCACAGCTGCACGTGATAAATTGCAGCTGGTTGCTGCTACACTGAGGTTTAAAAGAAGAAAGGAAAGGTTTGTGAACCGTCCAGATAGTAGACCATATGCATTTATGAAGATATTTTTGTCTTTTGCCAAAAATGTCATGAAAAGGAGTCTGTTTCCAGTATAAATTCACATGAGGGATGATTTAAGGTCTCCTCTTCTGGGATAAAGAAGTCAATAACATTATATTACAGGCAAATCGGGGTTGAAATAATACACACATCTATTTCATTTAATTAAACATGCAAACTTGTAGCGGCATTTGTAATGAAGTGCTTATTGGTTCAGTGAAAATGTGTTTATTTTTTTCTATCTTTTGTTCTCACAATCAAGACATCCCGTTGTTTCCATCAGCACATAAGTAGAAGATTTGAAACGGGGAACAAAAACTGAGACATGGAGTTGTAAACAAATGCTACTTCTAGTATGTGCATACAGATTATCCTGTTTGTTGTGAAGTATGTCTAAACTGTTTACAGCGGAGTCACAGTTCTATTGGAAATAATTTATCCTGTAATTTATTCTAAATGTTCCACCCTGTTTCCCATCACATTTTATTTGGGATAAGGTGCCTAAATGTAACTAAAATACAGATATTTATGTTAATTATGAATAAATTGCGTTTAGGGATGGAATCACATTTTAATTGCTTGTGCAGATTTCTTTAAGGATCTGACTGGCTTATTCCTAAGCAGTATGTCCTATAGCATATAAAAGTTATTAGTCAGTACCAAACCAGAACCAGATGTTGACTAGTTTTTAGACCCCAGCCCAATACTGTAAAATTGCTCATTTGAGAGTGGCCTTTTATTTTGGCCAGCCAAAGGCACAGCTGTGCAATAATGGTGCCGTCTAATTAGCATCTTAATGTGCTACACCTGTGAGGTGGATGGTTTGTCTTGTAAGGAGGAAGTGTTCACTAACAGCTTTAAACAGATTTGTGAACATTTTTTAAAGCATCTGCCTTTTGTTTAATTAGAAAAAAACCTCTAAGTCTTTGTCACAGCTGATTTGCATTGTAATATTAAAAAGTTGTGATTATCTAAATTTTTTCATTAAAGCAGAAACTGGTAAAATATCTAAGGGAAAACTCCCTCTTTCACTGCAGTAGTTAATTATTTCAGTGTAAGCATCAAAGCACATAATCCTCCACCTTAGCCCATTTTTTGCTCCAAAGTTAGATTTACTTCACTGGAGTAGCTGCATTTACTCACTGAAGGGGGTGGGGAGTTTGACCTGTTTGATCAAGCTGAAAAGGGCATCCAGGCTTGATGACTGAATGATTGATTGGTTACTTTATCATTATTTCACACATAACCTCTTTTTTGTCACCCTTGTTTTAGTTATGTTTGTTTTTCAAGAGTAGCATTCTCTCTTAATTGACCGTTTTGTGTTCTTATTAATGTCAAATTAATAAGATATAAATGGTAAATGTGTTTGGATTTGCATATTTCCTTCCTTTTTTCCTTTTATGGTCTGTAACCAAGGACTGTTCCATGCAGGGAAGAAAAAACATGCCCTAATCTTGGTTTAAGAGAAATTAAACTTCTAATCTTTGCAAGAAAAACATGTTGAAGAGCAGAACTGACAGCTGGGTTTTTGGATTATGGATTACTGTGCAGCTATTTCCTTGGTAAAATGAATCTGCTTCAAAGCGTTGAGCTACCTCAACATTCATGAGGAAGCGTTCTATAAAGGCCTGCAATCAAAGCAGGCCTTTATGAATGTGGTGCACAGTACTGGAACAAGATTCCTAGGACAGATGGTGCCAAGATGAAACCTGGGCCAGAACTATCTGAGAAGAAGCGTAATGAGAACTGAAGTGGTCCAATGATATAGTACATCATCAGTTTAACATGGTTAGGACTTAGAAATGTTCAGGACTTAAAGAGCTGACAGCGGAGTTTGATGTTCTGTGTTTACTGGTGATTTACCTGTTTACAGAAGCAGCAGGATTCCTGTTCAGCTCGGATTCAGGAAAATGGTGCAAAACCGAGAGGTTGGCACTTCACTTTAGCCCAGCTTGGATAATTATGCAGATTTAAATTTAGCACAGACTTTAAACTGTATGGATGCTGCTACGGATACTAGAGCAGATTGTCCCTGTGCAATGTGCAGGAGGATCTATTAGCGCACCCTGTTGAGGTAGACTGAGTCCTCAAATTCAACTTAGAATTTGTTTGTCAGGTGTGAAGCGAGATGCACAACAGAGACAATGAGGAAGGTTATCAATTTTAAATGAGAGGCACAGCAGCAAGGCTGAACGCCTGCATTGGTCAGAGGAATGAGAAAAAGAGAAGGATTGTGGAGAGTGTCTCACTGTTAGCTGTCAATCAACCTTCAGTCAGTGTCTGTGCAAAATTTGCATTCAGATCAAAATATAGGTATTTTTCTGATTATTTTAGTTTATCCAATTATTCTGGTCTACATGGAAATTGGATATTATATACATAATATATATATATTTTAGTATATTTCTCAGATTGTACACTTAAGCTGATTGCCTAATTTCAAATCCATTGTGGTGCACAAAAAACATAATTATGAAATCAATTTAAACTAATTAACTCTGTTTTAATATTTTCCTGAAACTTAGGTAAATCATTTTCTTTTTTTTTAATAATCTCTGTTCTTTGGCTGTCAATCATTCAAACATATTATATATGAATTTGTTTCTTACACTTAATGAATTGAAAACTACTTTATTTTTGCCATAGCTGCAGACCTGATTCTTCTAAGGTGCTAGGCTAATTAGTACCTCATTAAATGTGGATAAACATTGCTTTTTGTTATTATTTTACTTGAGAGTGATGGACACATTCAGCTCTTTCTATACCATTCTATTAGCATCCTGCAAAGCTGAGCAGCGTACAGCATAAAAAACTCATTTAGCCAGCCGAGTCTACAGCTATGGCCTAACCAACTCTGTGCATTATTACGCTACTACAGTGCCTTTCTACTAGAGGTGAGTATTGGCATGAGTGTTGCGATTCGATACATGTCGCGATACTTGGGTCACGATACGATATTATCACGATTTTGCAGTATCACTATATATTGCCATATTTTCCCCAGCTATCAAAATCAAATGATGAGATAAAACAACAAGTGCTGTATATTTTCATCAGAAAATATTGATTACGTGTTATTATCCATGTTGTTTGGGGTTTTCTTTCACTGTGACTGCCTCAAATACAGATTTGGTGCTGCACGCACAGTTAAAGGGCTCCACAGCGCTTTCTGCCACAGTGGGGGTGCAGAGGTAGCCCATTTTCCCATCAATGTTTTATGTAACCATTTAAATAAAAAAAAATCGATACTAAGAAGCGAAAGATCGATATTATATTGGGCAGCCGAATATCACAATATATCGCCAAAACGATTATTTCCCACACCCCTACTTTCTACTAAGTCTTTTAACATTTTTGTTAGATTACAGCCACAAACTGAATATCTGAATATTATGACACACAAACAGGAATGTCAATTATATGAAAAGGATGCATGGAAAAGTCTTACCACATAATTTTATTTTGAGTTTTAATTCTAGACTCTGAGTGGGCCACTTTAATACATGACCATTGTGTGCTGTGACCTAGCAGTCCATTGTCACCTCTGCTAAATGCTAAGAGATGTTTTTCTGCTGAGAGATGAACACTGCAACTCTGTGTTAAAATACATTTAGCTCCCATCAACTTAAATGTAAAAGGCCAAAAAGCAAGCAAAAACCATTGCCGCAAACTCATCCAGGAGGAGCAGGTCTTGCAAATCAATGACTGGATGCAGTCAGCTAGTTTTCTTGACAGAAACTTTTAACCAATCTGACTGTATTGTCTCTATAAAGTACCTTGAGAGGACATGTGTTGTGAATTGATGATATATAAACAAACTGAATTGAATTAAACCGGCTTACCTGTCCATGCTAAAGAGAACTTTATCCATAAACGTGATGGTAAAATTTTCACCATGCAGTGGTGTGTTCTGATCAAATTTGATGGCATCTGAGGGCAGCATTTCTTTGACTCCCAGGTCCCTTGTGGTAAACTTGAAGCATTATTTCTTATTATTACCTGTAAAGAATACTTCTTTATAAAGGCTCGATTAGTGAAGTGCATGACTAATGCTTTTCAGGTAAGAAGATTGTCTCACCTGAGCCCGGGGTCTCGGGCCCGGTTTGTTGTTCTTCACTGCTCCTGTGCTGTTCTTGATTCAGTAATTTTTTTTTTTTTTAACTAACCTCTTGCATCCTTCATATGCAGGGGAAATAAACCTATTTTTGCTGACATTTAACTGTGCATAGTGGGGCCTTGTGTTGGATTCAAGTGTCTTCTGAAGGAATTTTTCTGCACTGGGACTTTGGTGGTTAAAGGGGGGCAATTAAATTCAAATAAAATACATCAGCTTTTATATGTAATGAGGCAAAATGTGAACAAATTAGAAAGAAAATGTACCTTACGTTATTTTAGCTTAATACTGCACTCACTGTCAACAAGGCTGATGGAGAATTCAATTTGCTGCAATGCTGCAACCTTTTAGGTTGCTAATTAGCACATAAATCATAAGCTGTGTTTACAACCATGTTTTTGACTCACAGTGTGGTATCTGATGCTCTGGTTCTGTTTGTCTACTGTTTTTTGCAGGTTTTTCAAAACGAGAGGAACCAAAGCAGAGAGAGAGATCACAGAGCGACCAAAAGCAAAGACAGAGAGCGAAGCAGAGATGGGGAGCTCCCTTTAACAGCGAGCCAGACGGCAGCACGAGACAGAGCTATCCAACAGAAGAGGAGAGAGATAGATGAGGTGGGGGAGTGTAATTACACAAACAATTCACCCACATGTCTTGGGAGAGGAATAGTTATAAAGTGATAGAGGAAGAGCAAATAAAAAATAAGGGGAGATTAGATGAAGAATGTCAGGGTGCAGATCTGAAAAAGCGCTGGAAGATATAAGACAGGCAACAAAAGATTTATTTTCTCTGGTATGAACATTCATTTTGTAGTGCCGAGTGTCATTACTGCGTTTTGTTTTGCCAAGCCACACCGCAAAGGCCTTGTTCGCAGTTTAACATGACATGGTGCTTTTCTTTCATGCCCTTTGTTTTTTTCACCAAATTGATAAAAAAAAAGCATGACAGGCTCACCTGTATAACAGACCCAGCACGTGCATTAAGGTTGCCTTCAATGTGATAGGCATCACATGAGGCTATGCTCATCAGCTCTCTGTTTATGTCAGCGCGTCTACTTGTGTTTCCACCCACTTGATGGAGGAGATGCTTGGTTCCTTTTTTTTTTTTTTTCCATATCTCCATGGTTGCAGGGATGTAGAAGCACTGCAGCAATGAAATGTAAGGCTTTTGATGGGTGCTGATGCAAAAATGTCCATAACAGGTGCTGGAGAGATGATGCTTGTTAAATCCTGTGAATCGTGTGCATATTAATGTCTTCAGTTGTAATATGAAAATCATTTAAGTCTTTTTTTTATTTCCTCCAACAATTCTTCTCTGTTTCCCTTTGCCCTAAAGGTCTGATTATTTTTGCCTTTCAGGTGTACTACCAGGAGTGTGAAATGTTTGGCCTTGTAGCAAAGATGCTAATTGAAAAGGATCCATCCCTGGAGCGTCCCATCCAGTCGTCACTGCAGGAGAACCTCCGGGATATTGGCAAGCGCTGTGTGGAAGCCATGGAGAGATTTATTGAGGACTATGACTCTAGGGAACTTTTGCACTAATCACACACATGCCTTTATGTCTTTAGCAACAGTGGTTTGGTTTCCTTTGACTGATTAAAGCCTGTTGTGTTTTCTTGTTTCTAACCTTCTCAAAGGTTCTTAAATGCTGCTTGACAACATTTTTAACTGTTTCTAGTCTATTACTTTTGAATGATGAAAATGTTAAGCTGGAGATCATGTAATTGTAAAAAACAAACAAACCCCAAAACACTGGTCATTTTGAAATAAAATAAAAATGGAAGACTGTGTATTAATGTCATATATAATGTATTCCAACTTGGCAGTTTTTAAAATATTGTTTTATATTTCCTTTGTTGCATATAAACCTTTGGTGAGACTGTATATATTTTTAGAAACCTTTGCAGGTCATGGTGAAATGTAAATGGGTCAGTTGGTGACTAGGATACATGCACTTAAAGGAGTGCTGCTCTCTTTTCATATTTGAGCAAAGAACATCACCCTTTGATGTTGATTTGATCTAAAATAAATGTCAGCTGATGGCAGGAGATGGCATCACATTATCATATGACTGGCTTCATAGTAAAATGCCATACAAAACATAAACATAAAGGTGGAAAAGAGGGAATAACTGCTGAATTGGTGGTTGGAAAACCTGTTTGGTCCACTAGCAAATGAAAAAAAAAACACCTCACCTTTAGTCTTCTATAAGTATCTTGTAAAAATTTATGTCTTCTTCCATTATCTAACTTATGGAAACTCAAGAACAACAGCTTCTAGAGATGATTATACAAAAAACAACACAGGAACAACACTGAACATCATCTTCATAAGACAGTGGTACAACAACAGAGTGTTTTCAGTCAGAAGTTTCTACCCTACAGCCTTTAACTCAAAGATTTACAACAAAAAATAATTCCCCTTTGGAATCAATAAAGTACATTTAATAAAATTTTGATTTAAGTACTAATCTTGTTGAAACTGGCTTAACATTTTGGCCATCTGTTTAAAATTGATGTGTGTTTATATATGAAGAACTGCACACTACTTGGATGTAAAATAATTGCCGTCATGGCTTTGTTAAGCTGCTCCCTACCTTTGTGAAGCAGGAAAAAAACTAATACAAACTAGTGAATCCAGCAGAACGCTTTATTGCCTACCTGGAATGGGTGACAATAGTTGAATAAACTTTTGGTTCTCAAAATGGTATCTGTGCTCTATTTGTCGGTACTTGCCGATACCAATATCACCATTTTAGTGCTGGATCGGGGCCCCGCCAGATACTGGTATAGGTATCAGTGCAACACAAATTTTGGCAAACATGAGCCCAGACATACTTGTCCCAATTATCAAACTTACATTTAAAAGACATATGAACGATCAGTTATGTAGTCCATGACTTTCAACTTCTGATACCTGCTATTTTTACACCTGGGAGCCTTTATAGCCATTAAAAAATTTACATTTATGTGTGCATGACTTTCAAAATTGCATTTAAGTTTATGCACTTTTTCTATAAGACTCTTGTGAAACTACATACTGTTGCATGTTCCTATCTATACCATGTGACAAATTGTAGCACACCTGTAATAAAATATTCAAGAGAAGTGCAGTTTAGGAATCAAGGTTTGATTTCTGCCTTTGGATGGTTTTCCTTGGATAGAAAACCTTGAACCAATATGTCTGTTTGATCTGGTTTGAAATGACGTGATGTAATTGACGCTATATAGATAAACTGAATTGAAATTAAATGATTTCTGCAAAATGTATGGCCATTTTAAAACATTACAAAGTCATGTTGTAGAGTAAATATGCTAGCCTTGGAAGACTGGTAAAAAAATTCCCTTAAACACACTAAATCTTGGGGACAGCCTTCCCAGAAGAGCTGAAGCTGTTCTAGCATCAAAGGGTGGACTGATATCATATTGAACCCCTATGGTTTAGGAATGGGATGTGTATATGTATATATATATATATATATATATATATATATGCTTGGAACAACGACAGTCAGTCCCTCTCACTAATACGCATACTATGAGCAAAATAGTACAGTACAACTTATGTTACAGTTTCCTGGTTAAAGTACACTTTATTTTAAGTATGTGACAACAACAACAAAATTCACATGCAAGCCTCCCAATTTCTGTAATGTTATACAAATAATGATTCTTTTGTTACAAAATATATAAATATTTAAGACTATATGTACAAAACATTTACAGTACTTTATTTATTATTAAAGTTTATTACTATATATACATTTAGCAGATATTGTCTGTAATATTATTATAATTATTGTTTGCATTAGTATTATTATTGGTAGCATCATTATTATTAATAATATCAAGTAATTATTCTTAACCATCTAGTAAAACAAAGCATGTTGCAGAAAAGAAAACAGGACCATACCTAACGTTACTGTGCCTGAATGGGCAAGGAGCAGAGGCTGCCTGGCGCTCTGTCCTTGGTGAAGCATGGAGAGCTGGCTATGTAGAGCACAAGGTTCAACAGGTTTTTATTTTTGTACAAGGTGAAAACAGGGCTAGCAAGCCGACACTATATTCCAGCATTATTTGGATTCCACGGAGGTAAACAATCACATAGCTTGGAATCTAGCACATAGCTTTCACTATCCCAGCACAACTTCTTGACGGTCCGTGTGGTTGCAGTTTGATGCTCAGGGCTTGGTTCTCTGAACTGTGGAGTTAACTAGCAGATTGCTGCAGCTTTACTTTCCGTTTCAGACTAAAGAAATTGTCCAGTTCTCTGTAACATGAATACACTCACAGACAGACACATACATACACCATGTTATTTACCTTGACCACGGCATATTAAGCGATCCTTAATCAGTGCTTCCTGGTGCCATCATTGACTTGGTCTCAGTCACTGTAAACATTCTTGTTGTGTAAGCCAGCTTAGCTTCCTCTTATGATTAGATCATTCTGTGTAGGTGTACACAACCATAACCCAGTGTAGAGTTGTGTAAGCTCACAAGCCTAAAAAGATTGGCTTCTTTTCCTCAAACCCTGCCAAACACAGAAAAGCACACACCCTGCACACACTCTCACTCTCAACTGTCTTACTCTCACCTTCCCACTCGTTCTGCTCCTCCTCTCAAGCACCTCTCTCTTCTTACCTTTCTAATCTTTTTCCCTCTCCTTTTCTTCCCTCGTCATCTCCTTGCTATATATCTAGGAAATTATACAGTTTTTGCTCTTCCTCCTCTGGCGGTTGTGTAGCTGACCATGAATCGGTCCATGCAGAGGTCCGTGATGGGCCCCTATTCCAGATGGGCTGTAGCGGTGGCGTAGCTCCTCATTGTTGATGTAGCACAGCTGCACGGGCCGAGGAATTGGTTCATTCAGGTAATACCCCTCATCAGCCTCAGATTCAGAGGAAGAGGAGCAGCTGGAACACCATGGGTCCGGAGCCTCCATGTAGCCATCATTCCAGCACGGCCCACCCAATCCCACGGGTTGCCATCCGGCATTCTGCAGAGTAAGATCAGAGGTGGTGCGTGGGCAGGGCCGGTGGGCCTGTTGCCTGTAGCCTCCCGACTCTAGACCGTACAACTCTCGAGCAGCTTGACCGGAAGGGAAGCGGTCATAATCCTCTTGGACACGGCGGTAGGGAAGCTCCATCATTTGAGTGGGACGGTCCGCCACTAGGTGCAAGGCATTGTCAGAGCGTGAGCGCCGTGAGCGTTTGTGGTGCCGACCACTGCGGTGGTGACCGCCACCATTGGTTCCACGATGGTGTTTGTGGGGTCTTGCTTGTGGCTGCTGTTGTTGGGAAACTGACTCCTGGACGTTTATGCACCGGCGAGGCATTCTGTCACTCATGGGAGCCATTCGCAGGTTCCCGCTGCTGCCCATTAATCCAACACGACCTTTACTGCCAAAGCCAAGCTCTTGGGGGCCATCCCAATACTGTAGTGGATACCCAACCCTCAGTGGAGTGTACATGTTGTTGTTGTAAGGGCGAGAGGAGGACAGCGACTCTGTGCTGTGGAACTGGACTGAGGAGCTGAGGGTGCCCATGTTGCTCTTCTCAGACACGTTCACCCCTGAGTCCTTGCTTAAGTCAGGCATGGAGAACCTTGATAGATGCTCCTGGCGCTTAGTGGCCCCATCCAGAGAGTTACCTAACAAAAGAGGCAATCAATCAGAGACATGTAGGTGATTATGGCTTATAGCTAATCCAACCTAACATTTAATTGCTCAGAAAATGGAAACATTACATAACAACAATGTTTGTTTTAATTTTTTCTTTTTACATTTTCAGCCTAATCAAGTAAAACACCAATTTGGACATGGTTTTGAGGAAAAACTACATTTTAATAAAAGCTCAATTTTTATTTATCTTTACTTATCTTAGTTTTGTCTCTCCACATTCTGTTAATCCAAGATTCGTTTTCTTTCATGTATTCTCTTGTCTCTACCTATCCCCGTGGTCCTTTCTTTAGGTTTCTTTACTTTCTTGGACTTTTTAGCCATTTCAGTCTGTTGTACACACACAGTTTTCCCTTCAGCTCCATGCTCTCCCTCAGCTGTATTATAACTGGTAAATAGAACCATACATGTCCTTCCTAGCATTCCTCCTTGCAAGAATTTAGTATCTGAGTTTCATCCATTCCTCATTTGGCTCTTTGGTTCTCTCTGGGCTTTATGAGACATAAATATAATAAAAATCTTTTCTTTATCCATATGGTCAGTGTCATATCACAATCATGATACTATCTCATTCTGCATTGGGGTCTTTTACAAACACAAACCATTACAGAGATCAACGTTTACACTGCACAATCTCCTGGTCTACAGCTGTGCTGATGTTTGATCTTTTTGCTGTGAAATTTTCATAGAAAATTAATTTAGAGTAATTCTTAATTACAAGCAAAAATCACACTGATTAAACTTGAAAGTTCTGTACGTTTAAAAAATCTGGATTATGATTTTTCTTTTGAAATGAACTAAATTATGTTTAACTATTGTTCTTGTAATCTACTGGGTTGCACCTGTATATGTTTAAAACACATTGCATAATTTATTACCTGCAGTATTGGACATAGTGATGGAGTCCATAGATCCACGAGGGGTCTGCTCTAGTGGAGTAAGGGGCTCGTTGAAGCTCATGGCGGTGATGTGGTTTCTCCTCGTCAGTGGGGGTCTGCCATCTCTCTGGAATCCATGAAGACTGATGCTCCTCTTGTCAGAGAAGCCCTGATTCTGGCTAGACATCTCATTAAAGCTCATCTGGGTACGGAGCTTGTTGGGTCTAAACTCATCCTGACTGTGGTGAATCCAGTTTTCATTAAAGGAGTGGCCCCTGAGGGCAGCCATAGGGGTCCTTTTGGCATTGCCTTGCTCCTTCCCCCAAGAATCAGGTCTCTTGCCTGGGTTGGCAGGACTCTGGGCAGGTGGATGAGCATTTGTGTTGGGATTGTATCCTTGCCGGGCATTACACTGACCCAGTAGATGTATGGGTGCAGGGGTTGGGGAAGGATCTCTCTGAGGGCCCTCATAAGAAGCCGGGATATATGGCTCATCCCTGCTCATCCACACTTGGTTAAGGCTTGGGGCCCGACTTGGAGTACGGCTTGGTGTGCGGTTAGGTGTCCTGCTTGGAGTCTGGCTGGATGAAAGGCTTAGTCGGTCCATTGGAACAGAGAGGGGATCTATTTCAGCAGACAGGCGGTCTGGCATGGGTGGAGGAGCTGCCTGGCGAGACTCTGTGCTCCTACGATCCTGCTCGGCATTCCTACGCTCCTTCTTCCCTATCTTTGTGCTGTGGCGAGATTCTCGAGAACGAGCACTTTGGAAGGCAGAGTCAGAGGAGTCAGACTCCTCGGGATCCTGATTCATGCAAAAAAAAAAACAGATTTGTTCAATCAAAACAACATTAAAAGAAGCTAGTGTGAAATCATCAAGAAAACACCACACATCTAATAACATTTTAGTTGTTTCCATACTCCATACCTGTCCAGCACTGCAGGACCGTGAGCAGAAGATCTGCCCCTGCTTTGGGAGGAAGGGGCGGCCAAGCAGGGAGCGCTTACAGCGGGCACAGCAGAAACATTCCTCAGTGGCGTGCCAGTGCTGTCCATCATATGTCATCTGACCTTGATCAATTCCTTTGTTCAAATAGGAAACAAAAATAAATAAATAATTTGAAGAACATTCCTGGAATAAATAGAAATATATT